TTACGGCAATTGAGGGGCCATGGAAGCCTGACGAGCTAGAACCAGCGCAAGGTCCAGATATAGGGGCCTCTAGCTGGCTCACATGGATTATACAAGGATCATCAGGGGGTTGCCGTGGAAATTATTTCGGCGCCCGTAATCATTTCTCAGAAACCACACAAAGTCTCAAGACCCAAAGCTCAAAACCAAAAACAGCCCTAAAGCCACCAAGTCCAGGAGTCGATTCTCCTCCAGCGCTGCCGCGAGATGAAGAGCCCCTTCATCGTCGATGACGTTGTTGCACCTGCGTTTAGGGTTTTTTACGTTTTGGGTTGAGAACACAGAGCTGAAACTTTAACAGGTCTCATCAAAACTACTCAAACCCTAAACACCCCTTAACCACTAACTCGTTCTGCGTTGGAAAGGTCTTGGTTCCCCTGCAATGCAAAAAACAAAAATGACACCACCCTGTTTGCTTCTGTGGAGTTTGTTTTAATGTAAGCTTATGAGCCAACCCCCAACCACTGAGGCCCTGAACCCAAAACCCTGAACCCCTTAAAAACGTTGGACCGAGAGGCAGGTACAGGTGGGTCAACGTCACGTTCTTGATCAGCGCCTGCTGCAAGCTCCGGCTTTGCAGATGCAGTGGAAATTGGCCTTCGACTAGTTCGGGGGTGTGGGCTTTTTGTGCTCAGGGTGGTTTAGGGGTTCGGGTTTTATGGTTTTATGGTTTTATGGTTTTATGGTTTTAGGGTTTTAGGGTTTTAGGGTTTTAGGGTTTTAGGGTTTTAGGGTTTAGGGTTCAGGCATCATAGGGGCGAGGCGAGGGTCCTCGGCGATGCGGGTGACGCCCGCGGACGTGATGCCATTGTAGTCCAACCTGAGAAGTTTCTTCTGGCTCGCAGCTCAGGCTAGCTACAATTGGTTTGTTCGAACTAGGGATAATTGGTTCCTGGTACTTGTAGCGCTGAGAATGAAAGACCTGTCCATACATCGACTTCCACAAAGGGGCCCTCATTTATGAACAATTCCCTCATTGAAAAAGCTTAAGTTGTTGGGCGCAGCAGCATAAGGCTAAATTAGGGTCCCGAGATCCCAACTTTGTGAGCGATCCCCCACCCCCAGGGTTTGGGGTTTCGGGCCTAAATCCTAAATCCCTAGAACCCTTACAAGCCCTTAGAAACCCTGAAAAAACCTTTAAAAACACCTAAAAAACCCTGAAAACCCTTTAAATAACCCTCAAAAACCCAACTAAAAGCTAAAACAACCCTAACAAAAACCCAAACACCCAACTCAGGTTCAGCTTCGGGATCCGGACTCCAGTTTTGTCAGCGAGGTGTTCCCTTCCAGGGCGGCCGCCAGCTGCTCAGCACCTCCACCCCCAAACCCTAAACCCAAAGCAGCGGCAACGACTAGGGTTTAGGGTTTAGGGATTGGGGTCTAGGGTTTAGGGTTAAAGGGAGAGGGAATTGTGGCCTAAGTTTGAAGGCTTTGGGCGAAGGATTTTGTTGGGAGGCTTGCTCCGCTTCTGGTTGGATTTCGCAGCCTAGGCTTGCAGTGGGCGTTCGGGATCTTGCGGGTTTCGGGCTTCGAAGCCTTGACCTCCATATATCCCAACCAGAAACCCTAAGAGCTGAAGCCCCAAAAAAACCCCGAAGAAGGAAAATGCAAAACCCTAAACTCTAATACCAGGAACCCTGATAACTCTAATTGCCTGAAGTCCTACCAAACCTTGCGGTTTTGGCCCCCGGGGCTCAGCGGCACTTTCGGTTTTCGGTATCGAGCTTAGGACCCTAAAACCCTGAACTGAGCCCTTAGACCCTCCTCAAACCCGAGCCCGGCTAAGCCCTAAAAGCCCCTCAACCAACCCAGAGAACTTCGGAACCCCCCCCCCCCCCCATGGCCTGCGTCCCCGATCTTCCGGTACCTGCGCGCAGAGGCAACCCCAAAACTTACTCATCGACCTTGTCCTCCTGCCCCTGCGTTAGAGAAGTGTACATGTGAGTCGACCTTCTTGGGTGAAGGGGTGGGTGCCCATGATTCCGCTGTTCTGATCGCCACACCACCGGCTCGAGTTCGGGTCAAAAAAGAGAGCCAGGCAAGCATCACAGCCACACCCCCAACAGTTCCCGATGCACCTCCCTAACAAGTGGTCTGCATGCTGTAATCTATCTCCTGGCCTAGGCTCCAAACATTCGTCTAACGTTCCTGAACCCTAGTCCACTGAAACCACCTGAAGCACTATGATCCACTACTCTTTTTGCAAGATCCCCATAATCCGTCGAACCCCCTTGGACCCCCGAACACCCAAACAAACCACAAGCACCCATTGAGAGCCTTTTAGGGAGTTGCGGGTGCTTTTCCACTCCTAAACCCTGCCGAGGCCTCAAATCGAGCCGCTTCACCTTTTTCCCCGACCTGGGCTATGTTGCCCGGTTTTGCGGGAGCGGATCAAGCTTTGGGGCTTAGGGGTGTTCGCAGAGGAAGGATTGAAGGATTGCAGTGGCTCTTGTGCAATTGTGCCAAGCAAGACCCCGGGTAGCCAGCGTAGTGAAAGCAACAGCACCATGGTTACGTGCATCATGGTGGGCGAATGCATGGAATGAGCCCAAACCCTAAGTGGCTGGCAGAAGCACCTCCAGCGCGTGCTCCAAACTGAGCGCCACCACCTGATTTCGCAAGCTCTGAAATTGCGTTCATACCTCAGGGTTGCGGGCTGATACTGAGACCCCTTTTGCGGGTTTTGCTTACCAGGGCTTCGATAGATGCTGTTTGGCTTCATCAACCTTTGCTAACCGCACCTTGCTCTTGCCAAACTCAACACGCTGGCCCGCTAAGGCGGCGGTACTCAACCTGTTCTCCCACTGTCCTATGTCTTAGCGGAATGGCGCACCTCCCACATGAACTGCCATGAAGTTACAGCCCCCCCTAAACCCGAACCACTCCCCCCTTCCAGCCTTGTTGGAAGCTTTTGTCGGGTTCGCGGACGCTTGGCGCTTCAACTGCGGCTGCTGCTTCGGCATGTCGGCCCGGAGATGGCTCTGCTGAGCGAGTGCGTGGAGGGACCAGCTAAGGGGCTTAACAAGCCCTGGCATGGGGAAGCTGAAGGAGGACTGGGAGTCATCGAGAATGTGGGTGTGCATGTGTGAGAGATAGAGAAAGAGAGCGAACCTCTCCTTTGGTCTTGCTTGTTGATGGCATGTTGGAATCCACAGCTCTAAATTGTAGACGCAGGGGCATCATGGAGGGCCTGAATGCCTAAGGCTAGGGTTGTGAGGGCGATTTCAGAGGCCCTGCGGTGCTACTGTACATGGTCAGGCTGGCGCGCTGGCAAGCAGCATCAGCTTGCGACGGGACCATGACATCAAACTGTGATGCAACATGTTCGGGCTGCCCTACATCCCCCACCATCATGGCAGAGCGCTGGAACCCGAAGCCGTTAAACCCCAAACGGCTCTAAGCCTCAAACCAAGAAGCAGCCAAACATCCTCATGCTTGGGACCAGAAGATACCGCAAGGCCGCCGAAGATACAACGGGGAGAACACATTGAAGAAAAATCTGCGAATCCTAGACGGCCCTGCAAAGCTTTGACCTTGTTCTTACGGCCTTGCTGATTGAAGCTATTGCTGCTGGTACACATGGATCCTCACAGCACTTCGTAGCAACTGGCTTATAGAGGATCCTACACCAGTTGAAAAACGACTTCAAGACAGCCGAAGTGCTGAAGCGTTGTGTTCTTCCAACCTCTAGTCCCGAACATGCTTCCTCCACTCCCTGAAGCCTATAAACTATAACAACCCAGGGACAATAAGCCTGCACGCATCTTTAAGCGCCGCGCGGTTTCTGCACTTCGCCTCCGCTGCTGTGCCGACCCCACGCTCGAACATGCATATGCATGACCTGCGGCAGCTCAGCCTGTGTCACACAATGGCTCTCTTGCAAGATGCTCAAATTACTCACCATAGTTAGAGGCAACCTTCTACTACAAGGTACATGTGGGGGTGGGTGGTGATTGCCATAACAAACACGAATTTAGACCGAAGTGCTCACAACTGAGCTGAGTGGTTTGCTCAGGGAGGCGAGATGTGCAGCCTGGCTTCCCTCCGGCGGCAAAACCCAGGCTTTAGTGCATATAACAAATGATACCTGATAACATCCGTTGAATAGTATCAGAATGAAAACATAAAAGTATACAGAAAGCATATATATTAGTATAAACAAAAGTATACATTGGTGTGTACATATGATGTGCTTCATATCAAAATATATTCTCTTGATCTGAAAAATCACTAGGGTGTATGGGTGTAGGAGGATCTCAGAGCAAGGCACGGTTCTGGTGCTGCAGTACTGCAGGTATGTAGAATTGGCCGTAGCAACACACTGAATTTTGGACCCCAAAACCCAGGCCCAAAACTAACTATCGAACTGTCAGACTGTCTGCGTCCCTTATGTTCAGAGCCTTGGCCTGCCCCTTCTTCCAGCCTCGTTGCGGCTCATCTGTACCGATGGGCCGCGTCAGCGGCCGAAGCATCCGCTTCCGACCCAAAAGGCCCTAAACCCCCGAAGCTCTCGCCGCGCAAATGCAGCAAGAAAGGTCGAAGGTCGGCGGGTCCATGCTTGGACCCAGCAGAGTGCTCGCCGCGGAGTTTTGGGCTCAGGATCTCCCGATAGCAACTCAGAAGCCTTAGCGGGTCCTATATGGAGAAAATCACTACAGAAATCGGGGTTTACGATATAAGGGGTATCTTGTTGGGGTCCTGATTACAATGGGATCCTACTATTTGGGGGTCTATATTGGGTCCCCTGTGTTCGTAAGCCCCCATATAAGAACAAGAAGAAGCCAAGTTCCACATTTTGCCCATCGCTCCGAAGCAGGCTCCTTTGCTTCTTTACCGGAATGCTTCTGAGTGAGCAGGGGTTGCCGAAACATGGGGTCCCCAGCCGCTATACACCCTCAAGAATCCAAGAAACCCTTAACCCTCACACGGACCCACCGAAGAGGGCCGGTCGATGCTGGAACTCTAGCTGAGGAGCCGCTTTGGGTCTATGACTGCTGCTCGGGCAAACAGAGTAAAGCCAAGGGCTCCAATACAACATTTCGGGTACTCTGGTACGAGCTGCAGCGGCCGTGGATCGCGCCACAGCACAAACTAAGGATGCCAAGTGTAATATAGGGGAGGGAAGAATTTATGACTTGTATTATTAATACTCCCTATATTGCCCCCTATATAATAACCCCCCAAAACCCTATTCCAATTATTGACACCCCTAAAGGGTTTCACATGAACCCCGAAATCCTCGGGGTGGCCCGCTTTCAGCAGCCCCCAGCTGCGCTGACTACTGGAAGAGATCGTCGGGGAGCGGCTTCGCCCGTGCTTCCCGTGCTTCCGGGTGTCCACCTGCGCTGGGCTTTCAGGGCATTTCTGGGTGTTTCGTTGGGAAACTTAATCTTATAGGCCTACCACAATAAGGCTCATAATTGTACTGTGACGATCAAGATGGTACCCTTGGCATTGCAGCTTAAGTCCCTTAACAAGAACCTGAGAGCCCAGAACCGCCGATTTTCTTGTTGCCTTTCCGGTCAACGACGGTACCAGTTTTGGCTTTAGCAAGAGAGAGGCTCTCATGCTCACTGCCATTTCTTTGAGAAGTCGCATGCATTGACTTGTAGGACACTCTTGGGATTGAGGCCTGGTTTATAGAAACTACACGGTCTCTTTGGAAGGTTCCTGTTACAATATGGGGCCTTGTATTCAGGGTACAGTACTGTGCACAATGGAGAACCATATTTTACAGAAACTACCCGAAAGACTTGGTGTGTATGCCCGAGAACCGAAGCCTCTCGCGTGGTGCGTAGGCATGTCGTGTCCTGTCGCAAAGGCCGAGCTTGCGTCTGGGGAGGGACCTCAAAACTCAGGGGCTCTTAAGGCCAATTATGGCCAATTACACAGGGTACTGAAGGCCCTATTGTGGGCAAGCACGGGCATGTTTTGGGCTGCTTTTGAGTCTTGTGAGGTCCGGCGGCTGGGATCCTACGACTCGGGCTTGTCAAAATTCAAGTCAAAGAGGCTTGGGATCCGTAGACGGCCCTAAGGCTAAGGCTTCTGCGGGCTCCTTCAAGGTACAAGCCCCAGGGCAACCTGAAGACGGCCCTAAGCTTTGGGGGTTGGGTGTTGAAGCTTTCGGGGTCCTACCCACCCCCCCCCCCCCCCCCAAAGCCCTAAGCCCTACGAACCCTAACCCACCCAAAAAATGGGAACAAAGGGCCCCAAACTAAAAACCCTAAACGCATGCCCCCCCCCCCCTTTTTTTTGGTGCACCTACAGCAGGCGGCGGCCGGTAGCCGCCGTGATACGGGGGCCTGCGCGGGGGCTCAGGAGGGTTTAGGGTTTAGGATTTAGGGGATCCCAAAAAATGAGGCCAAGGGCTACGACTGCGGGCCCTGTCTCGGAGTTTTGTTAGGATTTATACGATTGCGGGATTACTGTGTTTCTTGTGTGTGCTGGCGGATGATACGGCGCTCATGACTCGAGTGTATGGGTGCACTGCTTTGGACCATCAGGTTCTGGAAAAAATCTCTCAAGCAACCGAGTCTCTGCAGATCTTTTGTGCACGCTTTGCCGCAAGCAAGAGGCACAGGCAGGAGAGGCTCTGCGTGAGAGACTTCGGACCGTTGGCCCTGTCTCAGTTAAAATAGGCACGCGAGCACACGATCTGCTATGAACTTCCACCCATCACATCGACCCCTGGCTTGAAAGAGCCACGCGCCAGGGATTTCCCGACGCAATGTGTGCGCGTGGCGGCGACGCGAGCCAAGAGAGCTAAACGATGCCATAAAGTAAAGTGGCCCTCCAGCGTAGGACCCCCCTTGGGTCCTTACTGGGCACACGGTTTAGGGCTTGGGGTGCTCCGACAGTTGAACCCCCAATGCGTAGAGGGCCCTTCTGTGGTGGTGCAGGACATGGGGAGAAGTGGGGGTGGGGGGGGGGTGTTCCACCAAAACAGGAAAGCTCAATCCCCCTAAACCCTGCAGCCGTAAATAACCTGAAATCCTAAAACCCGAGAGTGCCGAAACCTTAGCCTCAGAATGATGTTGTTTGAAAGATGTCGAAGATCCGTGCATCCTCGTAAACCCTGAACTTCCTGAACCCTCTTATTCTGGAGCTGCAATAGGGAAATTTCGAGGAACTCTAAAACCGTGAGGTTTTTTGAACTACAGGAAGAGGTTTAGGTTTGAGCGTCTTGGGGTTTTGGGCTATGAGGACAGCAGGGTTTAGGGCTTGGGCTTTTAGAGCTTGCCGGCAAAGAAGGTTCCCTAAACCCCAAACTCTGGCAGAAGATGCCAGCTCTTAAACTTCGCAGGCCGCTCTGCGGGGGAGGGAGGAGGCGGAGGGCCCGGAGAACTTCACAAGCGCATCACCCCATTTCGGGCCTGGAGAGACTGGTATGTGCACTCTTTCTGGGCCTCTACGACGATAGGTTTTAGGGAAATTGCAAAAAAAGACTACTGAATATTGGGGAACACGAGCTTCGTTTTTAATCTTCTCCTCCGCCTGACTGACTCTTCCCCCGAACACCGCAGGCAGCTCCTGGACTTCAAACTCGCAGGGCGCAGATCTCTTTGGCCCGCTTCTTGCACCACACCAAAAGGATGCAAACCGGTGGCAGAGGTCCTTTCCCTTCTGGTGAGCTCCATTATGATGTTGAGCTGCTGAGGGATTCGACTCGCATGCTAGCTGCAGGTGTTCAGTAGGGATGGCTTCGGACTCGGAGAATCTCGACATCAGGTCTGACTGGTGCTTGTGGGTACAGGTGAGGATATCGTGCGTTAGGCTAGGACCCCGTCCGAGTTCTTTGTACATCATGGCGATTCTAGCCAGACACCTCGGCTCTTGAGAACGGGTGGATACGGGTGGGGTTTGTAGGGATTAGGGTGCTAAGACTTGGGCTCGAAGCTTCGGGGAGCCTAGGTATCGCGGCTGAGGGATTGGTCTCACATGCCCCGAACGCTAAGCCGCTAAACCATCAGGTCTACAAAAGAGTGTGCTGCAGGAACTGTTGGTCGTTCGATCTAGGGCCTTCGCACGTATGTTCCTAAACATCCACCAATGCCGCGTATACAAGAAGAAGGAGTACGCGCTGAGTAAAGTCCCTGAACCCTAAATCTCGTCCCAGGTGCAAGTCCCACGGAGCGCAGCATCGGTGGCGCACCGTGGCGAAGCACGACCTCGTTGCAACAGGTCAACCGCGGGACATGAGGACTCGCGGGGTTTCTGGGGTTTTGAGAGGGCTTGTAGGGTTATGTAGGTTTAAAGGGCTTTGTGGAGTGTATAGAGTTCAGGATTCAGCACTGGACGTTCCAGCAAAGATCGTATTGGGAATGTAGACGGCCTCTACAGATCTGTACACGCTGGAAAGTAAGAAACTGCTCTGCTGCAAACCCACTGAGGGCGACCCACCGAATGAGCAGGCTTCCTCACCGAAATGAAAAGCAGTGCGAGTCGGAAACTTCCACCCCATGCGAGCTATGCTTACCGAAAGTACTATGTTAACGGCCGGGGCCATGAACAAAAAATTGAGTCCCCAGAACCCAAACTTCAAGGGCACACACCCTAGGGTCCCACTGGAAAAGCTTTGAACACCAAGTACTAAGCCCTAGAGCCACCAATTTTAAAAACCTAAGCCGTAACCAGCCAAATTCCCAAACCCCAAACCATCCGACCCCTAAAGACCTAAACCCTTCAACGGTGTAACCCTGTGGCCTTCCAGCTCTTACCACCAAAACGCGCACACCTGAACCCTAAACCCCTTTCCGGCCCTTCGGTACTCAGATCACTCTCAGCTCGCGGCCACCAGCGAGACGCCCAGCCCGGCCACGAGGGTCGGCTGGAAGTCCGAGTGGAAGTACGAAGACCTAGGGTTCTAGGGTTGTAGGGATTGTAGGGCTGAGGGTTCTTTAAGTCTAGGGTTGAGGGGGAGGGGGGAGAGGGAGGGGCTTGCAGTTCAATTAGAATTCAACCGTTGGGCTGAAACGCTCGGGGCTGAAACTTCAGCATGAGATCTTATGCTACCGTTCCCCAGTCTCCTAGGAGACAACTCATAAGGGAACCAAAACAGAGGGAGGTAAGTATTCCACCAAAAAGCTAAGTACATGGAAACCTTATGTACCATCTCGAAAACAAGCTTCGAGTATGCTCGGTATGCTTGGGGTTGTTGTTGAGCCCTTCGCAGGAAAGGGGGAGGCTTGACTACACCAGATGCCTGCAGAAACAAACGAATGCACAGCGACCACAAACTCGCAATCCGACTAGTACCCCGAAAACCCAAAACTGAATGAACTCCATCCCAGTCAGGGATACGCTTTTTGACGGCAATAACAACAATGCCCTATCCCTTCAATGCAAAAGCCATGCGCAAGGCCTTGCCTCTGGTCTAGGGTTTCGGAATGGTTTGGGCTTGGGGTTAGGGCTTGGGGTCCTTGGCTGAAGCTCCGGGCCTTCAGGTCAAGGTCAGGATGCTTTGCCCTGATAACCGCTTCAAGCCCACAAACCCGAACCTCACACCCACAAATCTCCAGAACCTTAGGGACCTAAACGCATGGCAGCCAAGCAGCTGGAAGCTCGCGATCAGGAATTCCCAAACGAACTGCACGATGCTCCAAGCAGTGTTTCCCGGCTGGTAGTCGTGCCTGCTCAGGAGGATTTGAAGCGTTCAGGGCTGGCTGCCCGAGCGTTGAGGGTTGGGATCAAGAAGCAACTGCCTCGGGCTTCTCTGGTTTGGGGTTTGTTGTATCATCGCCTCGATCTGCTTTAAGTCGGGCTCAGGCTTCGAAGCTCGACAGAACTCTAAGATGACCCCACCCCCCTTGTTTCTAGGGTCACCCTCGCCATTGAAAAAAGCATCCAAGGCCCTTGGCCCAAATCCTACTGTGCTCGGTAGCCCTTGTGCCAACTCAATTTTTCTGTTGCTTAGTCTTCTCAAGGAACCAAGAACCCAGCAAAGGCGGAAGGGTTAGGATTGCACTATTTCGAGGGGCATGTTCGGGGCACCCCTATTTTGGGATAATATGCCCATATACACCCCCGGCCACACGCAAGTGGCCTACACGCACTGAAGCGGCCGGCGTCGTCGCCGCAGTGTCGCAACAGGTGGCATATGGCGCCTGCCCCATCTAAGGACATCAAGGAAGCAACCTTACTATAGACCCCAAACCCAAAGTAAACCTCTCGGGCAGATACCAATCTAAGGTTTGTAGGGTCTAGCTTTTGGGCTTGGGCATTTAGAACTTAGGAAAAACATGGGGATCGGACTTGGGCGTTCCTGGGGTTCAAAGAGGGCCTCTTCTTCGGTACCCGGGCTTAGGGGTTGGGGTCTTCGGGTCTTAGGGTCTCCCAAAACGGAGGAAATTGACATGGACGCGCAACACCATACAGGCCGAAGCCACTTCAGCATGGAAATCTCGTACTCCTATGCACCGACGAAGTCAAAGAGTCAAGGAACGGAACACTAACACTTGTACTATACTTACTACTGATGTTGCACTTCAATCATTCCCTAATAGCCAACAGTACAGGGGAGGACATGCCCAGTTTGGCCATTCTTTCTCTGTCTCTTCAGCTTCAGACGAAAGCCCTTGAGGCTTAAACTGCTTGAAGCCTAAAATCCCAAAACCCTTCACCCCAAAACTTTAAACCCGATACCCCTAAAGCCCGACATGACAACCCTTCCCTGGATCTGCGTGGACCTTCCAGGAGGTGGCACCTTGGCGACTACAGGGCTTTTTCGGGATGCAATAGGGGGCTTTTCGTGCTTGTAGGGCTCAGTGGGCTGACTCCCAGGGGTGCAACTAAACCCCGGCCAGATGTTGAGGTCCAAGCCCCACAGCGATGCTCTTCTGCGTCTGGTCCTGAAACTTTGCTAGGTTCCCAGGCGTGTACCTTACATTTTATACTGGAGAGCTTGCAAGGCTTATCGCGGTTTTGTAGGCCACCAGGTTGCAGGTTTGAGTGCTTGCGATCATGGGGCGTGCAGTTTCTTCATGTTTTAGGATGCAGGTGGTCGGGCTTTGAAGCCAGAGGATGAAAGTCCTGAAGTTTACGGTTGAGGGGCTTGGGATTGAGGATTTTAGGGTTTTAGTAGTTTTAGGGTTGAGGGGCTTGGGATGCAGTGTCCCAAGTCCCAGCCCAGGAGTTGCTCTGTGCTTATTAAGGGCTTCCTACCGAGACCCAATCCCTCCGTGCTTTGGCGCCTGGCTTGCTTCTAAGTCTAAACAATGTACCCGCAACAACATGGGTGTATCGCGCCGCGAAGGTCGTCGGCTAGCATCTCGGCGGCCGCCGCCACAGTTGCGCCCCGATAGGCTTCTAGCAAGGTCGACTGGGTCGCGGCGGAGAGGTAACCGTTTGGGGCCATAGCCAAGAGGAAAGCTGCCGCAGCGGAAGGGGGGCGTCGGCGAGGCCCAGCAATGAAGTCGCGAAAGCGGCGTCTGCGGCCAGAACTCGTGACTGCACAGCTCCCGCTTCTTCCGCCTCGCACGCCGCAACGCCGTGCAGCCGGGGTGCGAGGCCATTCGGCTCTACCGGCGGCGCTTCCCGCAGCGTCGCCGCTAGTCCGTCGAAGCGCTCTCCCGCATCGTTAGGCAGTGACCGCCATGCCTCCAAGGCGGCCTGACTGAGGTGGGGCTTAGGGCTTGGGGCTTGGGGCTTAGGGCTTGGGGCTTGGGGTTTGGGGCTTCGGGCTATGGATGCAGGGTGTAGCGCGTAGGGCTTCGGGCTGCTTAGGGCTTATAAGACTCCTCCTTCTTGTCGACCTTGACTTGCAGAGCTCAAGATATCCCAGGCCTCGTTGCGCAATGCTGATTCGAGGGCTCCAGGCCTGCCTCGGCGACCCAGCGCATGACGCGGCCAAGGCAGCTTGTCCGGCTTGCCATGTGACAGGGCGAAGAAGCCCGAGAAGAATCGGATTTTCCTCGCTCGCGTCTCCTAGTCTGGGAATCAGCGTCCACAGGCCGCTTGCCCAACAGGGACGACTCCACACCCTCCTCGTGGTCGGGCTGGTTGCTTGCATGGCCCCAGAAGAGCTGTGGCAGGGAGAAGGTTTAGGATTTAGGGCCGAGGGTTTTGGGTTCAGGGTTTAGGGTTTAAGGCAGACCCGAAACATGCAAACACCCTAATCACATAAAGCACTAGAACTCCGAGACTGTAAAGACCAATTCCTAAGACTCTACGACCCCTGCCGGCAAGACCCGGGTGTGGAACACGCGTGGCACTACGCCCCAACCGAGCCTCACCTCAACTTCCGCATAAGAAAAACCTTCGAGCCGAAAAGAAGGTACCCTAAAAACAACTGGTGCAAGCCTCTAGGCAAAGGGCTTATCGGGTGACTTGGAATGATAGATGCTTTACGAAGCCTACACCGTAGGCCCTTACCAGGGTTTAGGGGTTTAGGGCTACAGGGCCCGCACGCACAGCATGGTCTGCACCAGGCCACCATGGCCTCGGTGTGCCATTTCCAGGGCTCATGTTTACCCTTTAACAAGGGGAAGTGTGCCAATCTTGGCCAAGGGTTTAGGATTTCGGGCGTTAGGGCTTGCGTTGCCGAGTGTTAAGGGTGTTTAGGGTTTTTGAGGGTCTGGGATGTTTCGGGGTTTCTGGGATTTGGGATTCGCCGACTTCCAAGGGGTTCAGAATGGAAGCGAAAACTGTAGCTTCAGGGCTTGGGGGTTTGGCTTACAGATTTTAACCTCTTGAAACCGACAGGTAGGGTAACCCTATTCCCAGTAATTCAGGCAAGCCTAAACCCAAATCAACACACTCCTCCAGAAGGGTTACAAAAAAAAACACAGGTAAACCAAAGGTTACGAAAGTCAGCCGATGCTCAGCCCTCGGGCCGCGTAGGGCAGCTTCTGAGGACTAGACTTCATCCCTAGACCGCAACCCTTTTAGAGGGTTGCGGTCTAAGGTTTAAGGTTCAGGGTCTACAGTAATGCTTGAAGCGGAAACCAACGGCAAATGCCCGGGCGTCCGGCCATCGAAGTTCCTTAGCGCTGGGAGGTGAAGGGTGTATTCCCCCCAATTGGGTACTAGCATACCCTAAAAGGCCCATGCCCCATGCCGAAAAAATGACGAGCCCCTAAGCAGGCCCCAAGGCTGCACTGTTCGAGGGAACGAGGGGCCTATTGACGTTCTGGGGTTCGGGGTCTCGGGGGTTTCGGGTTGACGAATATGCTTGGACATTCCCGCAACTCATCTTCGAGTAAAAGCATGTTGCCTGTTTTGACAATTGCTTGTTCCTCCTAAACCCTAAAACCCTCAAACCCTCAAACCCTAAAACCCTAAACCCTATGACTCAAAATCCTATGACTCAACCGAAACCAGTGTCGGCTATGTTGGAACCAATCCAGGCCGAGCATCTGTATCCAGTCGCCCTCGAACACCAGTGAAACGCTTCTGGGCGCATGCCGTGGAAGAATCGCTAACCAAGCCTAATGAACCCATGAACCTACAAAAACAATCTTATCGACTCAGACCCCAAACAGTGCAAGAGCAGTTCAATGGCATCGCAGCTTCACGAGGAGCATGCGCCGGGGGAGCTCTGTGTGGAGCACCACGAAAATGCAGACCACCCTAGGACGGATGCACAAGGCGACCCATCCAAAAGCCCGAGAGGCAGGAAGGTGCGCCCTGCCAAGTTTTCGCGACATGGAGCGATGCAAGCCTCAAAAACTGAGCGGACCAGAGGCGGGAGAGCGATTGGGACCGAAACGCGCGTCGGAAGTGGGCAATAGTGAGTTGTGCTGTCCGGTGACGCCAAGACCTTGGTTTTGACTGAAGCCAGTCGGCACCCAATTCCGTAGTCAAGTCCGCGCATAGGCGAGATGGCGATTCAGGGCGCCACGCACAGACCAGGCCACGCGGGGGCGCCACCGAGGTGCTAGAAGACCGAACCGCTCAAATCTTTGGAAGTATCTGCGCCTGGCAGATCGTCAACCCTACGAGTACGGGTAGAACTCGGTAGAACTAGTGATAACCCCAAATCGTCCCAACTGAATGCGCCCTAAGTAAACCCCGATGAGAACTCCTTGCTAAATTTTGCCCTTCACATAGGCCAGATGTGAATGTGAAAGTTTACAAAGTGAACGGCAAATAAACCCACATACCCCTCCCCCCCAAAAAGTAGTAAGACCATAAGTGAGTAGAACTTAACAACAAAGTAAGACAAAAAGTGAATGGGGGTTAACAACAGTACCAAAAATAAAGAGAATGTTAGCAATGCGCAAAATGGCAGGCCTCTGGTGGAGCGCCTGGCCTCCCGAGAAGGAGCGCTGCTGCGCCTGTCCGCCGGTTTGGGGGTTTGGGGGGGGCTTTGGAAGTTTGGGGGGGGTTTTGTGGGTTTGGGGGGGTGGGGTTTAGGGTTTGGGGGGCGAGGGGGGGTTTGGGGGGTTTGGGGGTTGGGGGGGGTTTTGGGGGTTTGGGGGGGTGTTGGGGGGTTTTTTGGGGGTTTTGGGGGGTTTGGGGGCGTTTGGGGGCGTTTGGGGGTTTTGGGGGGTTTTGGGGGGGCTTTGTGGGTTGGTCTCCAGGGTCCAGAGCTTAGGGTTTAGGGTTTGACCCTCCAGCCCGACAGGATTTTGGAGTTTAGGGATTCAAACACTGTTTGGCTTATATAACTCAAAGTCTGATCTGCGGGCATGAGCCTGCAAATTGGAGATCGCAAGCCTAGAAACTGCAAACCTCGCCAGACCCTCTAGGGAGGGGGGGTTCGAGATGACGGACCTTTGGACCTTATCAAATCGTATAGTTCTTGTTACTTAGGTACCAGCAAGGACCCATCATTGAGATGAGCCTCCGTATTCCCAATGATATAGTACCTCTCCAAACGTGCTGAAATGCACGGACCATGGCCTCATGCTTGGCGAGGGAGTGGTACATGCCTGTCGAGTGCCATGCTTGGAGAAGAGCGAAAAAGCACCAGAAACTAAGGCCGCGCGTGACGGAAATGGGAAGAAAGCGCACGGTTCGAAGCTTTGGCAGCTAGCCCGAAGCTACCTTGATGATGACCTGGACCCTATGCAACCCTAAACCCTGCCTGGCGGTTGGATGGCCACCGCTTGTCGATCCTGAAGGGGTTCGACCAGCAAAACTAAGAACCTGAAACGCAAGCCCAAAAAGCCATGACCATGCCAAGATAGCCCTCATGCCCCAAATTCTGCAAGCCCCCAAACCCAAGGTTCTTTGGGGTTTCAAGCTTAGGAATTTAAAGTGTTTTTTCTTAAGCCTGCTGTTTCTGGAGGGCGCGAGGGCTTGGTGGGACTTCCGGGCCTAGGGCTAGGGTCTGGGGTTGGTGGTATAGGGGTTAGTACTGTGTCTAGGGTTTGCGGTTGAGGGTGGGGGTCAGGGTTCTGGTTCTTTGGTGCTTTAGAGCTTTGCGATTAGGACCTTCGCGATTTCAGGGCCACCCTTCTCTCCTCCCGAAGGAACCGATGCCAACGCAAGGATGAGAATGCGCGGCCCCCAAAGAGTCCCAAACACCATCTTATCCAGAGGGCTCCTGAACCCCAGCCCGTTCACCAACAAAACATAAAAGCCCTAAAAGCCCCAAAAAACCTAAAAGCCCTGGAACCAAAAACCATGCACCCTAAACCAATTGCAGGCCATGCGGCCGTCAGAGCTCCAACCACCAGGGCAATGCCACCTGCCGGGTTTAGGGTTTAGGGTTTAGGGTTTAGGGTTTAGGGTTTAGGGTTTAGGGTTTAGGGTTTAGGGTTTAGGGTTTAGGGTTTAGGGTTTAGGGGATCCAAAATCGCATGCAACATCCATGCAGTGCTAGATTCATTGAGCTCCTTTTGTGTTCATTGGCTGGTCACGTGAATGTGAAGATGGTCGTAAATAAGATCCCCTTACACACAAGAAGCGAAATCATGCGCACCGTTGATTAATAAATGGAGTTGGATCCATAAAATAACTAATCGGCCTGTTTTGGCCGATCGCCTTCTAGGACAACCGCATCTTTCCACGACCTTAACGGAACATTGTGACCTTTCTAGCCCTCTGGAAGTTTCTTGTTTCCGGTCTTTGCCTTAGCCTTGCAGAGCCTAATTTAGCTTGAGCCTGCCTGCGACAAGTAGGCACTCCGCTGCGGACCAAGGCAGGACCCTCCAAGGATCTCAACCCCACCCAATTGTTTCGGGGCCCCTCTGGCCTCGGCTTATTCCCAATCCTTGGGGGAGCTTCTTGAAACATCTCACAAAGATTTACCTAGGTGCCTTTTCTGAAGCGTTCGAAGAGAACCCGCTAAAGGGCACCCGCCCAGAGCTTGAGCCCAGGAACAGTGCGCGATGCATGGGCAATGATCTAAGCTATGAACCCTAGACCCTAAATCCTGAACACCTACTAAACGGGTGAAAGAACACCCCTGATAGCCGATGGTGCGAACAAGGGCCCATAACTTAGGTCCCCAAACCCTAAATTTCTTGAGCTTAACCCCGCCCTCAAAAAAACTAAAAAGCCCCATCATACGCTCCATAAACCAAAAAAATTCAACCGCCCTGACAGCCGCCCTGAACCCCGAAGCTGCTCGCCTCCCAGGGAGTGGCCAGTAATGACGACCTCCTGCCGGCCGTGAAAGTGGGGGGGTTTGGGGGGGTTTGGGCTTTAGGCTCTAGGCGCACTAGGGCCTAGGGGCGTTGTCAGAGCCTGTGTGGCTGTGTGCGTGCACAGCTGCGCAGGAACAACCGGGGCCTGGTCCCGTGGAAGTGACCTCACGTGCTCGAGGATCTCACCTGATTCCAGCTGAAGGTTTCTTGTCTAGCCTACCGACGTGTTTTTCAGAATCTGCAACTAAGAACTCAAAACACATGGACAGTTCTCTGAATGATGTTCCCTTTTTGGGGTCCCTGTTGTACACCCCTAACTGCCTCTGCGGTCGGGATGGTAATTTTGGGGGTTCAGGTTCTTGAGTGTTGTTAGAGAGGCTGACGCAGGCCAGGCCAAGGTGCTGTAGTGCCACTGGTTGTCCGCCAAGCCGAGGCCGCCTGATGAGTTGGGGAGGTTTTAAAGCTTGAGGGCTTTAAGGTTTGTGCGATTAAGGGCTCTTGTGCTAGGGTCTGCCCACAGCAATGGCAACCAAGGGCTATCGGGGACCGCTTGGGTCTGGAGTCTCGGTACTGGTCGGCTGAGAAGGAAAGATCAGGCCCCCCTTCTGCCGCTGATTCCTGGAGCCATATCACCCTCCAGGGTCCAGGGTTAAGGCTCAAGCCTACACAGGTAAGATGCCACCATGCGGGAACCCTCATGCCCGACAGCGTGTTGAGCTTGGAACTGACGGTTGCTTGATTATTTAGAATGGGTACGTTGGGTCGCGTTTTTATGTTGCAGTGATGCGGGGCTGCTGACAAAGTGATAGTCTTAGTAATGATTTGCTTGAGTCAGCCCCGTGCTTCGCCGCGCCTAGGATGTCATGGATCGTCCGGATGACGAGCGAGGCGGAGTCCCTGGGCCAGATCCTGGGCTGGCTTTTGAAGGGGCATCAAGCGATTTAGGGTCCTAATATCAGGGTAGGTAGGGATGGGTAGGGATAGCTAGGGATAGGTAGGGTAGGGTAGGGTAGGGTAAACCCCAATCCCGAACCCTGAACCACGCTGGGGTTTAGCAATGAGCCCGTTTACCCTTTTAAGGCTTCAGGGCATCCAAACCATGAGCCTATAGCTCCACAAAAGACTGAATAGCACTGGGGCCTGGCAGCTTTCAACCTCCAAAAAGCTCCCAGGAACCCGGGACCCGTCAATTTCATCCCCAAAAAAAGCCTTGAGGTAACCATCCCACCGTCACGAGGTGGGTACAACCATACAAGCATGATTTGAGGTGCGAACTCCAGAGCTCATTCGTCAACCAGGGCTGAAGGGTTGGTTCAGGGCTCCCCTCTAAGCCCTCTAGACCCTAAACCCTAGACCCTAACCGAATAGGGCTTAAGGCAAAGCGACCGGATAGTCGGGAAGACCGTGGCCAGAATCCCAAGGGACACGGGCTCCGTCCACCTCAGTTTTCATCCGTGGCGTCGGCTTAGGTTTTGGGTCTTGGGGTTTAGGTCGTAGGGCGTCAGTTTGAGACCTCATGCGGCTCTTCTGGGAGGTTAGGGCTTTAGGTGGTTGGGGTTTAGGGTTTAGGACAAGGGCTTCAGAGGGTTTAGGGATTTTGGACTTGGGCTTTCGAGTTGAGGGTTTTGGTACTTTTGGGCTATGATCTAAGGACGATTTCCACAGACCAGAGAGACATCCTGAACAGCTTCTTGGTGGGCGTCGTTTATCGGTTTAGGTTTTGGGGTTCAGGGTTTAGGGCTTGGGAATTGGGTTTGTAATGGTTTTCGGGCTAGGTGTGCCCAAAGCCTAGCCCCAAACTCAGATCCCCCTAAACCCGAAACCCGAAACCCGAAACCCTAAACCCTATAGAGTGGCAGGGGGCATGCGCAAGTTCTCCGCGTAGTCGGCAATTCGGCTGATGTCCTCCAGGGAGCCGATCTTGAGACTTTGGGTGCTTGGGGGCCGGGGTTCCTCTAGGTAATTCCTCAACCCAGACGCGCGACGCAAAAACAAAACAAAACGTGCCAAAGAACGGGGTCACGGGCATGTAGGAAAGCGTGGCAGGCACTGCGAAATTGAATCTTATGACCAACCCCAGCAGTCAGGAAGCAACATCGGGTCACGATTTTTGCGACCAGTGCCATCTGACGAGCATGCGGCTTCATGCACTTGCTGCTTGCTGGTAACATGGGCGTAGTCATCGTGCGGGCATGGATGCTCTGGCCCTGCGCATGCACTGGTAACATAACATGGACGTACTCGTGGGCCGGAAAGCGAAGATGTGCACCTGCAAGCCTAACCCAGAACTCCGTTCCCCACTGCGGCCCCTAACCCCCTAAGCCCTTGAACCCTAAACCCTGCATAAACCCCCGACCGGTAACCCCTGAACCCCCAAATCCTCCCCAAAAATCCTCAACCCCTGAACCCTTGAACCCCTGAACTTCCGTCCGTGCCGCTGACGCTAATCACCGTCAGGTTGCGGCAGCTGCCATCCTCCGGAGACCCGTCTATGTGTATTTTAGATTTAGGGTTTAAGGTTTAGGGTTTAGGGTTTAGGGTTTAGGGTGTAGGGTTTAGGGCTTAGTATTCGGGGCGCGGCTTTAGGGTTTTTGTACGTTAAAAAACCTCCATTTAGGGTGTTTTGGGTTTTTTAACGTTAAAAATTCCTAAATGCATGGACCCAGGGAACATTTCTTAGAGAACTGACCACGTGAAGGGATGAAAGGCACCCGGTTACCCAGTCACCCAACAAAAGAAGGGAGGGCGTTTTTGTTGAAATGGACTTGAAAGGGGACCTCACCCCTAACAGAAAGGGAACAAAGGTACTTCTGGGCATCCGAGCAATCCCAAAACCTAAAGCAAACCGGCGCTCAACTTGAACCTTAACAACCCTATGAGCCTAAAGCCCGCAACCCTAGAACTCCAGGCGCCTGCCAGGAAGGCCAGTAGGCGTTCTGAGGCTCGCAGCGGCGGATCTGGAACTCCAGCCAACGCCTGGCTTACAAAGACAAGGAGAGGGCTTTTGGGGTTTGAGGGTGGGTTAGGGTTTAGGGTTTAGGGTTTAAGGTTTAGGGTTTAGGGTTTAGGGTTTAAATAGAAAGAGCATGGAGCGGCCTCTGCAGCTCCTCCCGCTGCAGGGCGCGGATGGACACGTCCATCTGCGGGAACCTTGGCCGCCACAAGCCACTAAGCAACCCTGGATAGGTTTTAGGTTTTAGGGTTTAGGGTTTAGTGTTTAGGGTGCAGCATCTCGTGTTCGAGCTTTCACCATTCAAGCAGCTTCTCAAGCGACAGAAAATACCCGCCCAAAGAATCCCGCAAAATTGAGACAACATACAGTTCACTCAATCCATACATTACATAATAAAGGCCCCCCCAAAGCCTTAAAGCAGCCACCTCAAGCTCTTTCGCTTTGCCAATCCACAGACACTCGATTTCGAAAACCCCTAGCCCCTAAACCTACACACCCTGAACCCCAAAGCCCTTGGAAGCCCAAACCCTCGAGTCGTCGCACCCGTGGCATCTTTTCAGGGTCGAGTCGCTACTCCTCTAGCCTTACGTTGGTTTGGTAGGGCTTTAGGGAGTCCGATACCCTTATCCCCGAAAGCACCCTGTCAGCCAGTAAGACTTTAGCTCAACTCTTGGTCTTAAGCCTCTTGCCCTGGGCGATTTGAAGCCCTAAGTCCCGGAAAGCCCTGAAACTTTTCTTTGGAGCCCTGCCCTTTTTGGGCTCTCTCTTTTCGGACGGGGGCTTTAGCCCTTCAGGGACTCTAGGGTCTGAGCCTCCCAAGTTTCATCCCGGCCCCCTAAGCCCCAAGCCCTACAGTCTGAAACCCTGAACCCTAGAATATCGGGTTCAGGGAGTTTAGGGTTCTCAAGGGCGCGATGTAGGGGCTACTTCGGCATATAGGGCCTATATAAGGTATAACATAGGGCTTTTTATAGGAGAACAAGATTAAGGGGTCCCTTCTAGGGGGGGTCCATCCCTTAAGGCTAGGGCGCTGCAGGAAAACCCCCCAAACCTGAGCCAAACCGGGCGGCAGATGCTGCAGTAGCTCGGGGATGGCGTTCTTCTCCGAGGGGCTGATGTACGCCCTCATTAGGGTTTCGGGTTTGGGGTTTGGGGTTTGGGTTTTGGGTTTTTGGTTTTGGGTTTTGGGGTTTGGGGCTTGGGGCTTGGGGTTTGGGGTTTGGGGTTTGGGGCTTGGGGCTTGGGGTTTGGGGTTTGGGGTTTGGGGCTTGGTGTTCAGGGTTTTTGGGTAAGGGGTGTGGGGTGTGGGGTTTGGGGTTTAGGCCTAGGCAGGCAGGAACCTTAGGTACCTGTAGGGAAGCTTAGGGAAGCTTAGGGAGCCTGGACCTGGCAGGAGCCCATAACTAATGTTGATTCAGGGTTTAGGCTTAGGCGACCCAGTTGCTCCTTCGCGGGTGAGGGAAGTGATCTGCCTCTAACCATGGGGCCCCTCGGTGCTGGAGGTGTTTTGAGAGGGCGTCAAGGGCTTTCAAGCTTGCAAGGGCTGTTAAGGGGTAGGGGTTTTAGGGTTTAACTCGTGGACTTCGTCTGTGCACTTTGGGGACGCATCTCAGCTGCCGACGTCAGGGCCAAGAACGCGTAGTCTACCAGCTGCAGGCCGTGCCAGGTATGCCCACACACCTCGTTGTGCAGGTTGAAGCGTCTGGATTTCGGGTTTAGGGCTTGTCGGTTTAGGATTTAGGGATTCTGAGGTGTGGCCCCGCAAAGGCAGCCAACACAACCATGAATTAATCAGTCACTAACCTAAACCCGAAACCCTAAATCCTAAACCCTGAACTTCCCGACGCCTCAGGATTCCCAGCCTGGTTTCATGGCTAAAGCCAAACACGCATCGATGATAAGCACATCAAGACCACTGATGGCCCCTGCAGAATTCAAGAGGGAAGCCTGAATGGGAAATCATCGGGGACTGCGTAAATCAGGGTCTCATGATGGTTGAAGAAGGCTCTGTGCTTTGGGGTTCTCCATATTTCCCCTTGGCCCATTGCCTAGCCCTAAACCCCAAACCACGAAGCTGAGGCTCTGCATATCGCCTGGTCGCGTTCGAGGCCAGGACGGCCGTGGGAAGCGCATCTGAATGGCAATGTAAAGGAACTTCTGGGTAGGAAGTTACTATATCCCCCCGATTGAACCCCCACAAACACTTCATAAGTATAATCAACATACTTTCGGGCTAGTGCGGGGGGTGGGGCATTACATTAGGTTGAGGGGACTACAATCTCCACGAACACATCTCCGCAGATATGGACAGGAGATCGCAGGGATCGATAGCCAGAAGCATTCCTTTTTCCCGGAGGGGGCGGCGGGGGGGGGGAATGGCGCTAGAGCATTTTGTCATCAGGACCCGAGATTGCTTGGTGCCAAGTACCAGCATGCCAAGATCTACTCCATCTCGCAGTTCGCAAACGCCACGCGTAAGCCAAAATCCGGGCAAGTGGATTTATAAGGCTTACGGGTAGTTCTGTACAGACAACCATGCCTGTTGGTTTGTCTGGGGGGCACTAATTTACAGAGCTGCCCATGTGTCCTTTCATCTTCTCTTCCGGGCTGAAGTTAACACCACCTTCATAATAACAATAGCAGCATTCACGTGTTTCATTGCCAAATGAAGCAGGTGAATGCTACTATTGCTATTGCTACCATGAAGGGGTGTGAAACAAAGACTGGATACTTCAAATATACATGTTGCAAACACTGCAATCAATTTCAGAATTACAGAAGCGTGTTATGGTAAGTTGCAGCAGTTTACAACAAAGGCATGCATGAAGCGCAAATCCCAAGGACACCCACAAGCCTGCTCTTCGGCATTAGCCGATCCACTCTCACAACCCTAGTTTAAGGGCTTAGGGTGCAGGGTTTAGGGTTTAGGGTTTAGGGTTTGGGGTTTGGGGTTTAGGGCACTTGCCTGCCCCGTCCTCGACCACGGGCACACCTTTGGCGCCCAGCGTCAAAACCTTCCAGGCTCGCTTCTCGAGGATGCTAATGAGGCTGTGGGGGTTCCCTGAAGCCTAAAACCCTGAAAACCCTGAGAAACCTCTTCGAAGCCCTTTAAAAAACCCCAAGAAACCTCTCAAAAATCTCAAAACCCGAAAAAACTCTAAGAAACCGCTTAAAACCCTAAAAAAAACCTGAGAACCCTAGAGCCCCAGAGCCCTGAAGCCGACAGGCAGGGAGCCCCTGTGCATTCCGTCTTGGTTTGCCCAAACAGAAGCAATCCTCGTAGATCTGAGAACCCTAACCCAAAGACACGAAACCCTGCGAGCTTTGTGGCCATGGGGCAGAGGCACCAGCATTGACGATTTCAACGCTCTTCTGGTCCTTGGCAGCCTGTTCAGGTCTCAGCGCTTCTCGAGCATGTGTTCATGATTCGTTCTCACTGTTCATCAGAGTGTGTCTTGAAGCCCTCTCCTACTTGTTCTTACTTGATGTTAATATTATCACATGACATTCTGATTGCAGATTCAGCTCTTGGTTTCCCGATTTGGGTGCGCCCAAAGATCCAAGCCGGCTCTCGAAACCCGTATACGTGACCGCTGTTGTGAACAGCCGATCTGTTGAGAGCTTCAAGGGCTTGGGGTTCTCTGACTCAGATGCTTAATTATCGTCCTTTAGGTTCAGGCTTGTGGGGCAGACGCCATATTTTGCGCGCGAGAACACTCGCGTGTAAAACTGCTGGCGTACGATCAACTATTCTGCTTACCCCCTGGGGGGGTGGGGTCCGGTTGTGGGGTTTTGTGGTTTGGGGTTTAGTTAGGGTTTAGGTTTTAGGGTGTGAGGTTTCGGGTGTGGGGTTCGGGGTGGGGTTTAGGGCCGCCAGCCTGCCACCAGACCAGGTCCTTCGGATTTGGGGACTTCTTGTGCAGGTTCCCCACATGAGGGCACCTTTTCTGTAACCATGATAATTAACATGAGCCCTTTCGATCAGGCTGCGCAAGAAAAGTGACGAGTTAGGCAACTGCAGATGCAAGCAATCCTAGGCGCCAGGGCTGCAAACTTTGCATCTAGCCGGCCAAGCCCGAATATCCAGTTGCAACAGTCAGATGGTGTGGCGAAGTCACATGGCTAATCTCCATACCGCAGCCCGCACGGGCTCCGTTTTGCTTGCACTTGGGCCCGACAAAAGGGACGAGCTAGCAGCCAGAAGGTTGCCTTTTTCGGAGGCGAAACGCTTGCATTCTAGTTTGGCATGGTTAGGTCTGGAGGGCTTGAAAGGGTGCACGGAGAGACATGCTGCCGAAACATTCGAGGGAAACATGCAGCAAAGCACATGCGTGCTCGCTCGCCGACACATTCGCGCATCCTTCCACTTGCACGCGCTTGCACTTGACAGAAACAGGCGGGAACCCAGTCTCGACATTGCTGTCGATGCCCGCTACACACTACTCCCAATTTCTTTCATTCTCTCTGGTACGGTGTGCAGGTGAGCTTGGGCCTTAGGCCCAGAGACCACTGGGTTTGGCAGGGTGAGGGTTTCAGGGGTAACTGCACTTATGGCCCATGAACTTCTTCCGCGCCTTCGCACTGCCATCACTTGCCCGAGTTAAACAAACAAGACTAACTCCACCCCGCCCCAGCAAGTACAAGAGACCCTACTTGCCACTTCGAGACCTTCCTGGAAACCTTAACCGCTTGACATCTTAACTGACCCTCAAAACCCTCCGATAAGTCTTGTCGGATTCGAACTCTAGATCCTAGATGCTACAAATACTTTGGTTCTTAGCAGAGAACTAGCGACTTCGGTACCCTATATAATCCCTTCGAGGGTTTTAAGGGATGTATGGGGTACCTAATTCCCTACTAAGAGCTAGTAAGGATACTGTCAGCCAAACTCTGAAAGCCTGGCATGAAAATTCCAGGCTACAATGGACAATCATAAGGCGCAACAAGCCCAAAACCCATGATCCCTACAAACCTACAAACCCAGCTTTTAATAATTGAGCGGGGTGGCTTTGGGGCTGGATGCTGGGACGTGCGACCAACTCGAGTTGGTGCTTCTGTTGCACACGTTCCTGCCGCCGAACCTTAAAACCCTATCAACCCTAAACCCTATGGAAGGCTACGTAGGCATGAAGTGTTTATGGGCTCAGCCCCTTCAGTACCCGCACGGCCTGCAACGACAAAGGGCTTTGGGGGTCGGACATCCAGCCCTACAAAATCCCTTCAACCCCATCAAACCCCCAAAACACCTATAAACCTCAAAAAACACCCTAGAAACCCTGCAAACCTCACACACTCCATCACTTGTCTCGGCGCGAACCCTAAGAATGTGTCCCAGGTCCTCCAGGAACAGGCCCGAGCGCTGCTGCAAGCCTCCTAGAAGGACACAGCTGGTCCTCGGTTTCGGGTTCCAGGGTTTCGAGGGCTTCGAGAGCTCGAGGGGTTCGAGGTTCTAGGAAAGTAGGGATTTAGGGTTTCGAGGGGTTTTGGGGGGCTTTAGGGTTCAGAGTTCGTTTTAAGGGTTCAGGCATCTGTGGGCTGCTTCTCTAGGTTGGCCCCTTAACCCTGCGAAACACGTCGTCCCATAAGGGGGCATAAGCGCGGAGATGCAAAAACAACCAGAAACCAGCGCAACCTGCAACACCCTTGAGCCCAATTAAGCCCTAAACCTTACCCCCTATACCCCAAACCCCAGTAATCTACACAATTAGCCCTAAACCTTAACACCCTAAATCCCAAACCCCATACAACTACTCGTCTGACGTTGCCCATTCTGCCGCGAAGCAGAATGGCCAAGAAGGAGGCGCAGATCAGCAGCAGGACGCGGACAGCCATACGGCCGAGCCTCCAGAGACATGGGGGGGGGGGGTCTCAGAAAAGAGGGTTGTAGTTTTTAGATTTTAGAGCCTCGAATTTGGGGTTTCAAGTTTTAAGGCTTTATGGTTCTCCCGGCTGACACAGTGGATCTCGATCCCTCGAAGGTGTGCTGATGTCATTAGTTGAGTATACGGTCTAGCATCCCGGTTTCATCGCGAAGGCACGTATGGCACAGTATGGCACACACTTAAGGCTTGAGTGGCTTCAATTTGCAAAAAGCTTGGGAAGACACACTTCGAGATCTCATGATCAAACAACTTGCATCTTGCTTGATACGCATTGCATCACAAACACGTTAGAAATTTGCCGGTGCGTTATGGGGACGTCTCGCCGTTGTGTGGGTGTGTCCAGAGCCCACCCAGTTCCTTCAGTTGAACTCATCTCAAGCAAGCGGTGCAAGGAGCAGTCTGGACCCGTGCACCAACGACTATATAGCTGGGCCCATTGAACTTTCCTGAGGGTTTTGCACAGAAGGTGATTTTTCTACGGGAATATTTTTCATAGGGGTTCCTCGAGCCAACCTAAACGGAGACGCTCATGTGACACCCAGAAAAATAAAGTAAAATACGAGGAAAAACATAACAAACAAATAAGAAATACATACAGAAAATACACACACGTCAAGGGTACAAGAGCCAAAACTGAAGACAACGTCTCTCACAGCTGAATGTGAGGAGAGGGGATTGCTGACTCCCTCCACCCCCTTGGGGATTCGAGCCGCGCGGCCTTCGCTCCACGAAGTACGTTGTCTTCAGGACCTTGTGGCTATCCTTGGCACCAGTTGGTGGGTTTACAATAATTATTAGGGGGTCCCTTACTGGGGTCCTTATTATAAGGGTATCCTACTATTTTGGGGGGTCTATATTGGGTTTTCTTAAACCCCCATTTAGGATGCAGCGTTTCGGGGCTTTGGGCTTCTGGAGCCATGGCATCCTCGAGCTTCAGGCCTTCAGCCTGGCCGCGGGGAGTTGTATAAAAAATGGGTCGGGAGTTCCTTAAAGGGCACCCAATATGTGCAAGCAAAAATAATTGCAAGGAACCCCAAAAACACTGTTTCACATGTCAGGACACCCATCTTGAAACACTTGAAAGTCTGCCTGCCGAGTTGCGGGATTCAAGGCGAACTTGATGCTAGGATAGGCAGCCTCACCGCCTCGAACTGCGAGTCGGCTTGACACACAGAGAGCTGGGGTAGGGTTTCTCAAATTAGGGCATTCTGGTGCCCAGTTGGCACTAATCCCTCCCTGAACCCCGAACTTTGTGGGCGCAGGGGCCCTTCTGACTTAGGGGCACCTGCCACCAAGGGAGTTGCATGAGAATCCACTCCCCGCACCCTTGAGACCCCAAATCCTAAAACCAAGACCTGCGCGTCCGGACGACCAAGCGGTTGACCGGTGCAGGATGTGAACTCCGAATGCCAGGAACCCTGTAAGATCTAAACCCTCCACCCCAAACCCTGTACGAAGCAAGTCTACAAAGCATATATGTAGTAAAGACACATGTCCGAAGCTGATCTAAAGCCTGAACCCTCATCTCCAAAACTGAATACTGAACACTGAAGGCCCTCAGCAGCCCAGTCGAACCCTAAAGGAACCCTGCGAAGCGGAACTATGCCGCAAGAGAACCCTTCCAGCTGACCCTAACACTCTCAAACAAGCCCCACTACTGCACCCCAGACCGAAGATCTCAAGGCGAAAGGCAACCAACAAGTAAACCCTGGCAGGGAACTCGGGAGTTGGTCGCTCTTGAGCCACAGCCCGCCATACCGGGCCATTCCTCCCGCGGGTTTAGGGTTGAGGGGTTTAAGGTTTAGGTTTTAGGGGTTTAGGGGTTTAGGGGTTTAGGGGTTTAGGGGTTTAGGGGTTTAGGGGTTTAGGGGTTAGGGGTTTAGGGGTTTAGGGGTTTAGGGGTTTAAGGTGTAGGGTTTAGTGGGTGCCGGGTTTAGGGTGCGGGGGTTGGGGGTTGGGGGTTGGGGGTTGGTGGGGGGGGGGGGGCTTAGGGTTAAGAGAGTTGTTCATTGGGGTATCAAATGTTGCGTTTGATTTCTGCTCTAGTGGTGACAGAGTGTGAAGAGTCTCTCGGCCCGAGAGCCCGAGTTTGCTGTACGATATTATTCCGGATGCCTGTGACGTGTAGTCAGCCACAGCCAAACCAACTCCTGCAAGGTGTAGGCCTAAACTCATTCGGGCCCAGAAACAGCTTTTCGCCTAAGGCATCTTCTGGCCATAGGACGTCAGTGCAGAACAGGGACGGATCTCTAGGTTGGCAGGCAGAATAATCCGCCCGCTCACCATCTGTTGAAAAAGTGCTTTGTTTTTTGTCTCGCATTTAGGGGTGTAGAGCTTCATGAGGGTTGTCTTGCTGTGGACCTCCAAGAATGCACAAAAGACCATCTGCCGCCACGATGCGGAAAGCTGCCCGACACAGGTGTACCCAGGTCAGCGCGATGAGCAATGGGTGTGAGCCTGCGGTAAAAGGCCGAACCTCCAGAAGCCTTAAACCCTGACCCCAAAAGCATGAGCGAAAGCAGCCATAAGCCCAATCCTCTAAAGCCCCCTGCACCTCGATCCACCCAGTTGCACAGCAGCCTCCTTGGGTCGGAGGTCGTGGCTTTTGGGCGTGGGGGATTTAGGTTGTAGGGCTTTTGGGTTTTGGGGTGCAGGGCTTGAGGGTTGAAGAGGCTTAGGGGTCAAGGTGCGCGTAAGGCCAGTTTCTGCGGAGTTTCGGAAGGTTTCTCGATTCCCGGCTTGTAGCTTTCTCATGGAGCCCTATTCCTAGTCCCAGAACCCTGATCCCGAACCCCAAGTCGCTATAGCCCGGGCGTCGCAAGGAGGAACACCACCGGCAGCATCACCAGGGAGCCCAGGACGGGCCAAAACATCCGAGAGAAGGCACCAGACCTCGGCTTGGGGCTAAGGCTTGAGAGTCTAGGGTTCGGGGTCTGAGTCTAGGACTAGGAGTTTGTTTACGGTTTTCGGGCTTAGGTCCTAGTTTAGGTTTTAGGGGGCTTCTCTCCGAGGGTTTTGAGGGGGTTTCGGGCAGGAGGTCTCACGAGTTGGGCTGGCTGAAGCAACGGGCCCGCAACGAGAAGATCGTGAGGCTCCCAATTCCTTCTTGACAAATTTATTCGGGAACCCCCCCCAAGTCCAAAAAGGGCACTAGAGGGCCCCACTACCCTTCAGAGCTTACGGGTGCTGGAGGAGGGGGGGGGGGGGGGCGAAGCTGGGGGCCGCGCAGCGCGACCGCCACGAAGGTCGCCTAGAGGATCTTTAGGGCTTCGGCAGGCATTTTGAGGGCTGTGAGGATTTTGGGTTTAGGCTTAGGCGTTTGGGGTTGTTTTGAGGGCTTGGGGTTTTGGGTTTCAGGCGTTCTGGGTGTTTGAGGGGTGGTTGCGGGCTATAAAGGTTCTGGGCGTGCCGGGTTAACACAGGGCTGTCAAGGCTTGGGGGCTTTCGGGCTTTTAATCCTTTCAATCCTTTCAGATTTCAGGACTTCAGGGCTGCAAGGTTCCGGTTTAGGATTGCCTCTGCCTCCTCCAGTCTCCCCTGGCTCCGGGCGCTGAATCATTTGGAGTACTTTGTATATTCCTTGTACCCCTAAGAGAACACCCAATATGTACACTCACCAATATTAAAAAGGAACCCTTATATACACTCACCAATAGCAGTAATATAAACCCTGCTTCATGTAAGAAAGCTTCACTGACAGCATTCGGGCCCTGAAACGTTGTCAGGGTTCCAAGAGGAGCCTCTGGAGCCCATGTGGGGAGCTGAACTACATCGCGGCGTGTAGGGTTTGGGGTTTGGGGTTTGGGGTTTGGGGTTTGGGGTTTAGGGTTTAGGGTTTAGGGTTTAGGGTTTAGGGTTTAGGGTTTAGGGTTTAGGGTTTGGGGTTTAGGGTTTAGGGTTTAGGGTTTAGGGTTTAGGGTTTAGGGTTTAGGGTTTAGGGGTACCTTCTAATTATCACTTACAAGGAAGTTGCGGACGAGACTGTCATGAAGGCCCACCAAAATTTATCGTAAAAGTGAAAACGAGGGGCGGTCCAAATGAAGCACAAGAGCAGCCTGGGCTTGGAGCACAAGCTGCAGTTAACAGGGTTTAGGGCTCTTAGATTTCTGTTGGCCGGCTATAAAGTAAAATAAACGATGGTGCATTCTTAGGCTAACACAGTTTCAGTTCTGAACGAGAGCCTGGTTTGTTGGTTGGGCTTCAGGGGGTTCAGGGGGTTCGGGAACAGTGGCTTGCACGAAACAGAAATGACCTCCCTGTCCGGGGCACGCCGTGAGACTTTAATGTCATTCAAACTAAACGCTATTGACATGGTGCACAGGGCAGGGCATGATACTATAGGGCGTTGAAGGTTTTAGAGTTTAGGGGTATCTAGTGATAGCCAGGGAGCGGATAGAGGAAGCTGATCGTGATCAGATCCTGTGGGCGCACCAGCTGGGAATCCATCAGTTGGCATGGGCTTCAGGCTGGACGATCCTGCAGAGATCCCCCAAAACACCCGCCAACCAAGTGCGTGCTCGGCATGTTTGCACTACGGATGTATACAGCTTCCCATGGCCATCTGCAATCAAAACCCCACACCCCCACCCTCCCCCACCCCCACCCCCCGCCGTCTGTGCCACGGCGAAACCGTGGGCCACACAGCCTCGAAGAAAGTGCACCTCAGAATGACAGGTTAGGTTCAGGGCCAATAACTCCCGCATACCCTTTTCCCGATGCCGGCAGGGGTTTCGATTTGCAATTCTCATCCCTGGCGTGCCCGAAACCCCAAACCCCCAACATTATGATATTCCTCACCATAGGAATTCCCCAACAGGCTTCTACAGGGTCCAGGGCTCCAGGAGGCTTTGAAGCAGCCGAAGTGGCTGCTGTGTCAGACTTGCTCATTTGCTCTTTGTCCTTTTTGCGGACTGTGAGGCTTCCTGAGCTATCTGCAGGGCCAAGGCGCGGCCAACCAAAAGAAAAGCGTGTACTTGAAAAGCATCGTGAGGTGTTTCCAGCGCGCATCTTGACCTGACGAAGTTGTTAAGGAACCTAAAGGCGATGATGGGGACACTCCTTTTTTTCTCAGCTGAACTTAAGTTCCTGGCCAGCAACCCAGCAAAAGCTAAGGTAAGCTCTAGTGGCTCTTGCTGCAGACTTCAGGTAGCCCCAGAGCTCCAAACGCAGCCAAAACCCTAAAGCCTGCAAAGCCTAGAGCTTGCAAAGCAAAAACCCATCAACCCTGAACAAATATTAAACTCTTGGGGTTCTTCGCCTGAAAGGCCCAAAGTGCTCAAAAATCGCGCCTGCCTCCTACCTCCTGCAACCCGGGCTTCGGCTAAGGGTTTTTGGACCTCAACAAACACAAAAGTCACTAAAAAACCCAAAAGCCACGCCTGAACGCTAAAGCTGTTGGCCGATCCAAAAGCCGTTTTGTTGGACTAAACCGTAAAAAAGGTGGAAGGCTCCCGAAGTGACCCAAGTACGAAGCCGTTCTGCTGGGATCCTTGAGTGGGCATCGTAAAGGAGGGCACCACTTACTCCTACTAAGAAGCCTGGAGTGAGGGAATTAGGCACCTTCTATCCCCCTTGTAAGGGCGGTTGTATGGGGGCATGGCGGGTGCCTACTTCCCTCATGCCCTGCTAAGAACCAGTAGGTGCTGGAGGCGCATGGTTTTGGCTTGGAGGGTTTAGGGGCTTGCACCACGTCATTCCCTAAACCCTAAACCCTAAACCCTAAGCCCTAAACCCTAAACCCGAAACCCGAAACCCTAAGCCCTAAACCCGAAACCCTAAACCCCATGCAGCCCTCCACGAGCCCTCTAGGAGCCCTTCTGTGGCGCGCGGCTGACGCTGCGCAGAGTGAAGCCGGAGAGGCCAAGGAGCTGCGGGTCCATAACGACCTGGGGGGTTTAGAGTTTAGGGTTTAGGATTTAGGGTCTAGAGTTTTGGGTGTAGGGTTTAGTATTTAGGGTTTAGCGTTTAGCATTTGGAGTGGAGGGGAGGTGCAGGCTTTAAAGCTTTCCCCGGTGCAATCAAGATGCGTACACGGCAAGGAGCGACCACCTTAGCCGACACAGACAGACACGTTTTGGGCCATTCCAGGAATCTAAGTTGTCAGGTCTTGAGCTTCGGGTTTGGGGGTTTCAAAGTTTGTGATGGCCAGAGCTGTGATTTTAAAGGCTGTACGAACCACCAGGTAGGGCTGAAAGGAACTCAGGAACTGACAAATTAGCTACAAGCTCCCAAGGTCCAACTTGGCGTGTGGGACCTAAACGCGATTTCGGGTTTCGAGTTGAGGGTTTTGGAGGACGACTTGATAGTTGTTTTTTGGATTCTTGTGATAGCACCATTCATAAGAGTAGGGGACCAGCTGCAAAACCCAAGGTTTTTAGGGTCAGAACCTAAACAGTTACGGGCGCGGATCATGTTCCAGCAAATCCAAACTCCATCGACAGATATATGTGCACAGGCAGGGAAAGAACCAACTTGCATCGAGCACTTGCTCTTCCATTTGCCAGCTCTCTATCTGCTCAAGCGGCCTACTGATGTTTGCTGAGAAGGCCCCACTCGCTCGATTGCTGAGTTTTCATCATGGAGCACAGTGCCAACTACATGTTCAGCCCTTTTATTTACAATGCAAGTCATCACCCTGAACCCTAAACATTAATCCCTACCGCCTGCGTCAGGCCTACATCAGAACAACTCCAAACTCTAAACTCCGAACCCCTAGTCCTGAACTAAACCCCCCTGAACCCTAATCTTGAATCGCGTAGCCAGGACCAGGCCGTAACCAGTGCCGAGTCCGCCGTGTGGTGGGGCACCAGGCCTGGACGTTTTTGGGACCACACGAACTCTTCACTGTGTCGGACAGGACACGGCACAAAATCTACCACACCGAGCCGGACAAAACTGGAAAGGTCACAAGGCGTTTCTGGCCCACATGCAGCCAGTCGATCAACGCCTAACGCGCTCTGCACAAGCGTTAAACATCGTAGTTTTCAGACACCCATGTGCCGCTGCTGCGGTCAATCCAGCGCCTGTCAGCATCCCAGGTGCTTGTGTCATGTTTCTTGCACCAAGTGCTCTTCAAAACCCTAAACCCCATACCCCAAACCCAAAAAGCTACCCCCGAACCTCAGCAGCCCGACCCGCCAAGGAATCCCCCGGCCTCCAAGCGTCCGTCGCACTACGCCACTGCCTGAGGACTCAGGAAAGAGGCCCCAGGTCCATGCTTTAGAGACCAGTCGAAGCCTACTGACAGCCCATAGACACCTACACACTGAACTTTGTTTTGGCTTTCTTACTGGCTCAGAAGCGCGGAAAGATGCGAACCCTAAGTCCATCAAGCCCGAAACCACCAGGCCTGCTGGCTGCAGCAGCCATGCCGCCAATCGCAGCGTGGAGCCTCGGTCCCGCATCAAGGGGTTTAGGGTTTAGGGTTTAGGGTTTAGGGTTTAGGGTTTAGGGTTTAGGGTTTAGGGTTTACTGCAGGGTCGGCTGACGATGGGACGGTCTGCGAGATTTGGGCGACGGCCTGTCCACCCATTGCCGAGCGGTTCTTGCATACCTGGCCTAGCAGCCTAGCGATTGGCGTATACCTCAAGAACTGCCAAAGTTGCTTTTGGCAGGTTCACCTTTTTATGTTACAAGGGCTCGCGCAACAAGACGTGAACCCGCAGTTACTCCAAGACCCCGAAGCACTTCTTCAAGAACGACAAGCACTTCTTTGCTGAGGCAGTGCAGCAGCGCCACACATTCAAGAACGGGGGCGTTGTATGGCTAGGGTGGAGATTCTTCACTGGCTCATGTACTTGCAGCTGTCACAGACCTGTAACGTTGGACGCTCTCCTTGCTGGCAAGGCACAGGGCATCAGCACCAGCAGTAGGAAAAACGACACAAAGCCTGCGTTGGACGGGAGCCCCGAGACTAGCGAACGTGACAATCACAGGAGCTCCCCCCCCCCCCGAAGAAAAATGAACAACAAAATGCTCAGCCCCGAACCCTAAACCAATCTGACTGGGGTTTCGGGGATTTGGGGGTTTAGGCTTTTTAAGGTTTCAGGGCGGACATATGAACCCTTACCTGAGGTGGTGCAACCTAACACCGGCACAATCGCAATCACACTGACTAGGCGGTCGCAAGCTTTCCTCCGTCCACCGTCGGATTCAAAGGGGAACGCCCTAAACCTTACCTAGACCCTACACCTCACACCTAAGGAAGGGGGAAAGGGTATGATCTGGGGGGGGGGCGGTACGACGGCGCAAGGATCACGAGAAAAGGGTTTCGGAGCTCAGTGGTTTGGATGGGGGGCTGCACGCTGAAAGAGCAACGCCGAAAGCAACACAAAGACAACGACAACATTGCCATCTAAGGTTTGGGCTGTTGACATAGGTTTAGGGAGGGCTTCTAGGGCGTCCAGCCAGGGCTACATCAGAGTTTGGGGGCTGTTGCCGGCGAGCTGCGGGGTAGGGCGCCCTTCCCCGAAGAAACAGCTTGAGTCCAGCTGCTGAATAGGCCAGTCCAGGCCTACATGGAGAGCCGATTTGCTAGCCGAGGGCGGGCCCTGAACCCAGAAGCTTTAGCTGTTGTGGGCTACCTGACCCGCTTCCCCCATTAGAAGCGCCTAACATGCAAGCAGCAACTTCTCCAAAATCCCAGTCCCCACCTTCAAATCCTTCAAAGGCCTGCCGGCTTAAGCAAACGAAACGTCGGCCGCAGGGTTTCGAGTTTCAGGGGTTTAGGAGGTGGCCCTGGCCAAGATACAGTATGCTTCCCAGCTTCTTGTCCCATCAAGCTTTAACCGCAAATCTCAAGGCCAGGCGCCCTGCCCCCGAATTCGGGGATCTTAAGGCCAAGCCAAAACCTGGATTTCGATGCCCTGGCCTCTTGGCTTAATGGCCAGACGGGCAGACCGTCAAAACCCCAAACCCTAACCGTCCCGAATCTTATGGCCAGTGGGACTTGTTGTCTCAAAGGCCTGAGACCGTGACCCCAACCCCTTACCCCTTAAGACCCAGGCCTCCCTCCCTAAGTGCCTCCCTCCCTAAGCTGTCAAGAAGCAAGCGGAAGGGGGAGGGGAGGGGAGAGGGGAGCCCTGCACCCCTGAACCCTTCTCGACCCGGCCTGAAACCACTGCACCAATGCCAGGAACAGCACAAAGCGCAAGGCTCTGTTCAGGTGTGCCTTTGGAGGTGCGTTGCGTTTCGGGCTTAAGAAGCCTCAACCCGAGGGGTGCAAGCGGCTTAAATGTTCGCGGGTCTAGGGCTTTTGGGTGCTCATGGAGTATCGGCTGGGGGGGTTCAGGCTCGCAGGCTTCGGGTGAGGACCCCCATGCCCTAGACCCAATAATGGAAGAGGGGCCAATTCCAAGACCCTAAACCTCATATTTCCGTCGTAACCCAGACCCTCTACCTCCTGAACCTACTTCCACATGCCCCACACTCCCTTGCGTCATCGAAGCCCTAAAACCCTAAACCCTGGAACTTGGAACGCTTGGCTTTCGCAGTGCAGCCCAGATCGCGGTAGGCTGAAAGATGGGCACGCTATCGCTGCAGATGCCTGCGAAGCAAAAAGTGGCCGGCAACATGCCATGTAAGGCTTGGGATTTGAGGCCGTAGGGAACGCCAAACTCCCCCCATCCCCCCCAAGCCCTCGGAGGCATGAAGCCCGAACCCTTATACCCGAAAACAGTCAAAACCCATACACCCAAAACCGATCCCCTGATCTTGGATAAAGATGCGGCCTCGGTCAGGATTTGGGTTTAGCATCTACTCAGTCACTGCGTGAAGAGCTTGGGTTCAGGCCCTTGGCGCTTTTGGGGCTCCAGGCTTTGGGGTAGGGGGGGGGGGGGGGTGTTTAAGCCGCGAAAGCGAAAGTCTCAAACCCTTCACCCCCTCCAACCTCAAATCCTACACGTCTACTTAAACCCTTCAAAAAAACCTCGGCCCCCCAACAAAACATAAAGCGCCTTCCGTCCGCCCATCACCTAACAAGAGGGCGAATTTTTTCGGTGTTCACACAGGGCAGCTCTCCGAGTCGGTTTTAGGGTCAAGGCTCCAATCAGAACTTCCTTAGTTCATGGTTTTTGGAGATTAGTAACAAGGCAAATGTCTATTCCTAGTTATTGGGCTTCAGAAAGCGTAAAATGTTACCCAACTGTGACAAGTTTTTGCCCTGGAACCATAGCAAACAGATAGTCTTTGAAAGAATTATTCGTTGGTCTTGTGATGGAAACAAAAACACAACTTACTTCCTACGGCAACGATAGGGTCTAGGGTTTAGCCCTTAACCTGAACGGCTTTCGGGTTTACTTCATTTCGGGCTTAAGGGAATGCGGCCACTTGTAGCTGTCTTCTGTTTGGAAAGAGGTTGGGGCGAAAGGAGTATGTTCATCTGAATCGCTGACTGACATGAAAAAACCTGACGATCGAAATCCGAAAACCCCGAACCCTTTCCGCCCGCCCTCCAACAACAAACAATGAAGAGGTTGCCTGGGAGTGCATTCCAGCAGAATACATGCAACAATCAGTTGAAAATATTCCTGAGTACGCTCCTCTCAAAACCCAGTCCCTAGACCCTAAACCACATACACCCCCTAGTAGGGGACGGGACTACAAGAAAAGTAGGCTTGGGGGTTCTTATGGGGAGAACTTCATACCCTACGGTCAGATGATTTCCTAAGCTAGGATGGCCCTTGAAACCCTCTGAAAAAAAACCATCGAAAAAACAACATCCTCTCAGGTCCACTAAGGAAGATACGCAACATCCCAAAAGCCTTCAGAACTTGGTCTCACCGACGCGGCCAAGGCACAAAAACTTTGCCCAAGTAGCAACGTTGAATTAACCTGGGCGGGCCGTGGTCACGAAAACGTAGTTTAAGGCATATAATGGGTGGGCAAGCGCACTCGCATAAACTATGCCGGACACAAAGGCCGGATCTGAGGAGAATTATGGATTTTCTTGGCCCTAGACCCCGAAATATGAGCCACAGACCTCGACCTCTCAGCATCACATCGGGGATGCCGAGCGGCTATCGCAAGGACCAGCAGCGGCGAGATCAGCACGATGCGCCGCCTCGCCTCGCAGGTCATGAAGGTGCAGCTGAATGCAATATGTTGCATTTGCTGTCATCAAACTTTAAGGTAACTGTGCTGGCACGGGCGCCTGCCGCCTCTGCATCGTCCCGGTTTGATCGACCTCCTCGTCAAGTCACCAACAGCAATAAGGACGGGCCAAGGGTAACAAAGGCAATTAGTCGTCCTTCTATGAATTCATACGAATGGGCCGGACGGACAAGAAGATTAAGCAGGGGTGAAGTCTTATGGGTGACCATCGTCACCATGATAGAACAAGTACACCAGCGGTAGCAGACCTTCGCCACGTGTGTGATCGGGCTGCAACAGGAGCAACAGCACAGTCTGAACTGCGTTATTCGCCCTGAACCCGTAAACATTGATCACGCCAAGCCCAACCTTGACAGGCACCCTTCGACCATCAGCCTTCTTCCTAAATCCCCAAGCAAGGCTTTCCTGTCGTCGCTGTGAGGCGCCATTCGGCGCCTCCTTGCCAGACGGCTCTTTCGAGTCTTTTCCACCTGCGCAACAACAGCACAGCTCCTGTTGTGGCTGCTTAGGGGCTTGATTAAGGCTCAGAGTCGGGGGTGGTTCAGGGTGTGGAGAGCTGCAGGGCGACCCCGAATTCATCCAAAACTGCAGCAGTGAAGGCTCTCTACTCGGGTCCTTCCTTGCAATAGGTTCCGTGTTCCCTAAGTAAGTACACAGCGCCAGGGCATGGGATGCTAGTCGACGCAGACCAAACAACAAAAAGCGTAGCCTCGTGCCACCGGTGTCGTCCGGGGCGAGCCCTTGGGAGACTGCTTGGAGGCCTCGCTGGTTGTCTGCGAGTGCAAATTGTAGGTCCGGGGACTTTGCGTTCCAGGATGTCGGTTGGTATAGATGGTGCACGGTGCATATGTTCATATATACATATAGACACGCAAGACTTCGTTCCGAGATAGACATGCAATTCAAGCAACACACACACAGTGTACCAGGCCACAAACAACAACGCACCCAGATCCTGCCTAAAACTTCTAGACGCACACCTTGGCGCACAAAAAGCCCTCCCAACAAAGCCAGGACCTACCGACGAAAGCCCGAAGCCCCAAATGCGAGCCCTAGAGCCCCTGAAGCCTTACAACCAGGAAGCCACCCAAAATCCTCCAAACCCCGCCAGCCCCCAAACCCTAAAGCCGAAAAACAAATGCAAAAAAAACACAAATCCCAAAGCCCAACAAAACCAACCTACCCTGAGGCCCCCCACCTCGCCGGGAGCACCTTTGGCACCAAGCAGCATCCGACGCAGCGTGGGGAAGTCGTGGTACGTCTCCTCAGTTTTGTGGGATCATCAAGATGGAGACTTTAGGACCTTAGGGCCGTAAAGTCTGGAGACTGGCTCTTAAAACACATATATATATATATAAGTGTAAACGTTTTGGGCTCAGGCTATTCCCTAAGTTGTCGTAAGCCGGCCTGGGGCGCCGAAGCTTAAACACCCAAATCCCAAGCCACGAAACCTGAACTTATAAGCCTACAGTCCGAGAAACCAAACCGGACCGGACCCTTACGCTTAATGGCTTCTCAGGAATGGTGCGCCGGGAGTCCCAAGCCACCGTCCACATGCTGCCTGGCAAGGTCGGCATCCCTGAACCCTAAACCCTATAAGGGTTTAGTGTTTATGGTTTATGGTTTAGGGTTTAGGGTTTAGGGTTTCGTGTGACAGTTTGAGGCTGAGGGGATTTGGGGCGGCGGAAGTTCCCACGACGTCTTGTGAGCCTTGTGGCCATCAGATAGTCAACCTCGCACTTGATTCACCGCCATCCCACCCACCATGCTTCTACGTCGAAATATGGTTTTCGAGGACACACCACCATGACCTATGGCCTTTTCTCACACTATCATAACGGGCGAGTGAATGAATGTAGTGAATTCACGTCCAGGATGTATCATGTAAAACTTAACACGGGATTCATACTGACCGGCTTAGAGACCAGTCCGACCGCAGCACCCATCACGCCTTGAGACCCGAACTCTCATAATATCTTGGTGTAACCCTTCACACCCTTGGGATCGCATGCCAGGTTAACCATGTAAAAGCCCTGTGAATATAGTACTAAAGGTGTGAACAAAGGCAATTGTATGCGCGCTTTGCTCACGAATTTACTATGATATGGGGTTTTTTTGGGGTGGGCTCAATGAGTGGCGTGTCCGTACGCATGAAACGCGTGTGTCCCTTACCTATAATATGATAATGGGTGCTCTTCATGGACGGACTCTTCATTCGTGACCGCACCAACAATAAGACTCATGAACTGACCTCTGTCTCTAGGAGTTAATCTGTTGAGTCGTGAAGGAAACAGCCAGGATGGGACAATGAGGGTGAAAAGGGCCAAATAATAAGTCCTTTTAAAGTCTCTGTCGCAAAGAAGAAAAAGGACGAGTGTCTCACCAAAAAATCTCTTCATGCAAATAACTGACCAGTACTTACGTGCTGCACCGCTTTGAGTCGGGAGAGCTGATTTGACTAGTGTTTCCGAGAGTTCTGAAAAGTCGATTACTAGCCCCTACATGCGACATGCTGGTGTCACATAAGCTTTGTGTACGCAGAGATATATCTTACAGCCACATTCCCATGCCATGACCAACGTCGCCTCGTTGGTAGGTCTTGGCTATTCATAATCTATTTGGCTCAATATCGGCTCTGAACTTCAGGACTGTGGGGCTTAAAGAAGTTTTTCGAATGGCAGACCTGAAAGCATGTTCTCGCCCAGCGGCGGGCGAACAGCATGAAGATCCGAATGATGCTGTAGTATACCTGGCTTTCACAAGGGTCCCCAACCCTAACCCGAAACCCGAATATGAGGACTCGAGCATGGTAGGCGCAACTCCACTGTGCAAATTTTCAACCCTGAGCACTAACTCCGACCATGCCGGCAAGAGGCATATCCCAGCGCCACAGCTCTCAACGGCTGCTTGCCATACCTGAATGGTTTAGGGGCTTAGGGCTTAGGGCTTCGAAGCCGGTATTCCGCAAGTGCCTCTACCAGTCTACATGCCTCTGCAGATGGTGGCGTCTTTGAGCCGTCCCCAACCTGTAGTTCAGGGGTTGTATGTATGCGGGAGAGATGTGGGGGGTTCATGAGTTCGAGCTGCACACAATCATTGCGAGTAGGATGAAGAATCCTTCAGGACAAGCGGAAGTCCGTCGCTGCACCAGCAGATTCGCAGACATTCGCCCGTCAAAAACTCACGTGCGCATAAGCTCAGAATGGGAAGATCAAGTTCATGCAAATCGATTCTTCGTGGTGCTCCTGAACGAGTTGAAGAATCCGAGATAATCCCAGTGAAGGGTCCGCCACCTATGTCGTGGAGGCGTCAGGTCTCAAGGGTGCGACCAACGATTCCGAATCAGCGACGCTCTCCAGGAATGAAAGCTTCGACACAAGCCCTCAGGTCGCCCAACCGAAGAGCGCTCGATCTCACAAAAGCTCTTTGTTTTGCCACGCCGCAGCTGTTGGTTCTTGGCCTAAACCGGTAACTCTGATCGAGTCTGCGGGCCCTCTTTCCACTCACACCGACAGCCTGAAATGCCATTGCGCCCGCGCCCCCACACGCACTGGTGACCAAGTTTGACCAAGTCCAAAAAAGCCACCCCTCACCACATCATCTGGGGTACCACAAGAGATCCAACAGGGGGCCCGTAACTTCGATAACCCCCGGTTTGGGGTTTGGGTATGTTTGGGGTTCTTGGGTGTTTGGGGTTTTTGGTGTTTAGGGTTTTCATCCTCAACCCCTAGACGACGAGACCCTGGAGCACGCCAAGCGACACCGCCGCCGTGTTGGAGGCAGGCATCTCTACGGCTGCAGTCCTGAGGCTTAGCTTTGGGGTTGCGGGGGGGAAGGGGAAGTTTGCTTTTGAGGTACCAAAAAAAGGCACAATGATTTAGATCAAGCAACAAAGCAACAGAAGCCAGCCAAAAACCACCTCGCCTCGCCCCCTACAATACGCTTTTTGACTCCCAATCGTCTTCGGCTGAGGTCGCTTGCGGATTTTGCCAAACTTCAGGTTTAGGATTCATGGGGTTCACATGTTGAAGGCCATTCCGACAATCCTCAGCTTTCCTGTGCCCTGAACCCGAAACCCCGAAGCTTCGACCTGAAGTTTGAGGGGTCGGTAAAGCTCCGCTGGATCCCAGTCGCACGATGCGCACGCACATCGAGGCCAGCAAGGAGACCAGGAAGAGCCAAAAGAGGCCCAGAGCCTGTTTGGGGTTTAGGGTTTACGGGCTTGGGAGGTCTTTTGCAGAAAGGGCTTCGTGAGGGCTGAAAGCTACTGGCGGCTCGGAGCTTTAGGCAAACCTCAGACCGCGGAAAGCAAGCTACGTGGCGCCAAAAAGAGAGAGTGAGTGCACATATATATATATATATGTGTGTGTGTACAGAGCAAATCATATTATCAATCTGCCAAAGTTTTTGTAATGGCGAATGCACCGTCGTTCCACCCTCCCCGCTGGCCTGAGCGAAGATGTACAGGGAGCCCACCGAAAAGCCTCAGCACAGCTGGGATTCCGTGATTCAACGGGAAATAAGGTAAATTCCTTCACCACTATGAGGAATTCCAAATATATAGCTCTTTCATACCATGTATCAGCCCTACTAATAAGCCCTAAACCCCTTGTATCAATGTGATTGTATTGTTACTATCTATATATATATATATTATATGTCTGTGCGCATATATGTATATAAAGTCCCCGATAAGGGAGGGGGTTGCCACTGAGTGTTCCTCCAGTGACCTCAACCTTGTACAAACTTATGAACCCGAGACCAAAACCTAATACCCCAAAAGACCTAAACCTTGCAAGCCAAAAAAACATGAAGTTAGGGGCTGCGACTGAGTTGCAAGTGTGCGCGGGCGGGACGGCGCGGCAAAAGATACCTGCGTGTCTTAATGCGCAAGGGCTCAGGGTCAAATGCGCAGGGGCTTATAGGGTTTAGGATTTAGGGTGGTTCACTTGGCCGCAGCGTGCTGCACGGCGTTCCATGGTTGCTTGCTCCCCATGCTCAGCTACGATGTGCCGACACCACACTGTGGCCCTCTCATTGCCTTTAACTCCTTCCCAAAGCTGCGACATGCACATCCGAAGCCCTTCGCAACTATCACTCGAGTGCGCAGAATACAACATGTACGTTTATGTAAATACATGCATTCGTACATACGTACATATACGTACATACGTACATATACGTATATACGTACATATACGTACATATGTACATGCGTGCATACATACATATATCTACAACAGATAAGCGCATAAAATCAATACAAGTCTATAGATATATCCATATGCGTATCTGGTAACGCGAAGTACGAGTCCCAAATCCCACAGCTCCAAGCCTGACAGGTCACTAACCAGACATCAGAAGTACTCGCATTAGTGGCCTAGCTGGATCCCCTAATTTTCACCCCTCCCTCCCCAAAAAAAAATCAAGACAATTTGAAACGCCCTGTGAGCATGTGCGCCTGGACAGCCATGCGCGCATGCCCAGACAAAGCTGCCCTCGCGGTCGGGCTGTTGCGATGCCGCGCTTTGGGGCACAATGCAGGGTTTAGGATTCAGGATACGGCCTACGGCATACGGAGGTCTGTGGTATAGCCAGTGTCGGGGCTGACCCTGAACCCTGGATCATAAATTACGAACAAGCAGTCCCCAAACTCCAACACCTATATGAAAAGTATCCGGGCCTTATCCGGGTCACGAGGAGCAAGGTGGATCTAGGGCGCAGACACGTGGGGCTAAGAGGGCGGAGCACTTGGCTTCGAGGCAAGGGTTGAGGGTTTAGTCGGCTGGCCGCCTCCCTCACGCCGCGACTTGGGGGTTTTCCGAAAATAGGGTACCCTTTTTGGGAGTTCCTAAGGATTGAAGTAGAGTAGGGGAGTGGACCGTCCTGGTACCCTGAGGGTGATCCTACACCCTCGGTGTCATTGGCAAAGCTGCCTCTTCTATCATCCCGGCGCGCATCCCGGAAGACCGTGTTTAGGGTTTGGGGTGAAGAGTTGAGGGCTTAGGGTGTCGCCTGCCACTGCATCAGCCGCTTTTCGACTGCGCCAAGAAAAGAACAGCCGGCACGGCTTCTCGACGCCATGGCTTGGGCAGGGAGCCTTAAACAAAGCAGCGACGTCCTTGCTACAGTAAACCCAAAACTTTCAAAACTCCCCAAACTAAGCTGCACCATTCAAGCCCCAATGCTGACGTAGGGCTGGCTGGGCGGGACGTTTTGGGCGCTACAGCCCCTGCTGCAGCTGCAGCTCAAACTTTTAAGGTCTTGGGGTTTAGAGCTTTTGGGGATGTAGGGTCAAGGTCTCAGGGTTAGAGGGCCTAGGTTGTGGTTTGGGGGTTTGTCTCGGAGCATATTTTGCTTCCATCCTGTGGTCTTCAGCCAAAGTGGGCCACACAGAGAACCAGCTGCTGAAGGGGGGCTAAGGCTTAGGACTGAGAGGACGGCTCTGAGCATGAACACTCTTTGACACTTTGAACTTCTATACAGGGATTGCTTTTGTTGTTTTTGTGGGTTTTGCCTAGACCCCTCACCCGCTTGCCTCTGGGCAATTGCTTTAGATGCGGTGTCGGAGTTGCAGGCCAACGTCAGACATGGCTCATGTCGAGCCATGCATAACCCCCTGTACCGTTGCAATCGCTCTAGGAACACCTTCCTTAGAAGCCGCCGAGAAACCATGCGGCTCGCTTAAACATGCCTGCAGTTGAAAGCCCCGCAACAGAGCCCCAGTGTCTTGTGAGTCTACCCCCCGCCATCTTGAGGGCTGAATATGTTCTAGCATTATGAAGAGTCTTCTTACCGTTATAACCAGGGGGAGGGTTCGAACTCAAAACCCTTAAAACCCTGAAATGCAAGAGTGGAGGGCGGACGGATGCCAGTGGGGCGGCGGGTGCCCCGGCCAGGCGTGCGGGAACGGCGCCCTGTAAGGCTCGTGCGGCGGCCTTGTTGCTGCAAGTCTTCGCTTCAAGGTTCTCAGGGTTTTAGGGTTTGGGGTTTTAGGGTTTAGGGTTCAGGGCTGAGAGCATTTTAAGGCTTTGAGGTCTACTTGACATTGAGAGGGACGAGGGTCGTCTCTGAGGCGCTGCATTAGTTGGCTTTGCTTGCTTCACGGCTGAGGCTCGCCCTTTGCTCGCCGCTCAATAGGTTAGGCACGAACCCTAACCCCCAAACCAGAAGCCCAGGTTTAGGGGCTGTCTTCTTGGGCGCGGGCGGCCGCCACCCAGGCGGAGGCATGCCCCAGGCATGCCTTAGGTTGAGGGTTTGGGGTTGACAGGTTTTAGGGTTTTGGGTTCAGGGCTCAGGGTTTCAAGGGTTTAGGGAGGGCTTTTTGGGGATTGGGGTCAGCTTATAGCGTGGACTACATGATTGCACCCCTTTGCGTGAAGATGCGATTTGCAGTGTCTGCAGCATTCGGAGTATCCATATTTTGGGAAATGCCATGAAGCACCCATGAATTGTCAAATGAATAATGAACATACTCTTGTGCTGGCTGTTGTTCATAGAGAAGCCCAGAAGAAAAATGGGGAACAAGGGCACCACTGGGCTTCCTAGAACATGTGGGGTGGGGATCTGCGTACTGCCCTGAGCTGCACACGGCGGCGGCATCGCACCCCAACCTCCGTCCAATGCAGTGTTTCTGTAGGGCTAAGGGCCGCAGGGTGTAGATGTGCTTTTGTGGAGGTGTCTTGGGTTCATTAGGCTTGAGGATCTTGCTTGGTTCGTACCTCATGTGCCAGGAATTTGGCATAGGCAGCATTTTAGATCAGGATTGAAGGATGGGCGACGCCCGAGCCCGAAACCCTAAAAAAAGCGATGTAGACAAATCTCTGATCGACGCTTCTCTTTTGCAACGCCTCGTCGGGTCTCCTGCAGGCAAGGGGTCTAAGAATGGGGGAGTCGAGCCTGGGTACAAAAATGGACTCCTAGAGAATTACTCGCGTCCCCCCTGTATAGCTGAAATATCTACTGCGACAGGGTTTGGGGTTTGGGGTTTAGGGTTTCGGGTTTGGGGTTTATAAACCCTAAACCTTACAAAAAGGTTTAGGGCTTATGGTTTAGGATGCCTTCTTCTAGGCATTTTGGCCTCAGAAGCCCTAAGCCCAAGAGCCACTCGGAAGCTCGGCCGGCGGCTGCCTGGCGGAGGTGGCGCGAAGTGGCCTCCGCCTGAGCGCAGAGGGGGCCCTTAGCCCTTCAAGGGGATGGGATTGGGATGTTCCCCCTTGCTGTCAGGTAGACTGCCAACGATCTTCCGTCTACCCCTCTGCACTACCTGAGCCAAGTAGGACAGCAGGTTAGCTTCGAAGCACCGAGCCTCAGCAAGACCCCAAACCCTGGTTAAACGGTTACACCTTGTTTTCAAAGTCACCTCCCCTCCTCCCCAAACGGGGGTGACTAGGTAGGCCGAAAATGGGTGTCGCTAGCCTTCCGACTGGGGGCCTGCTTCCCTAGCTCGCTGGGCATCGACAGCGGATTTCGCCGCCTGCCGCTTGCCAGCCTCAGGCGTGGGTGGAGGGGAAGCTCTCCCTCAAAATCTCCACCTCAAAAATACGCAAATATCACGGAGGAAAGCCCCTGAACCCCCTAAACCCCCAAAGCCCCCCAAAACCCTTAACCTGTCGTTTAGGCTTTTTCCGTGTGGCCAAGAAAGATGGAGGAAGGCCCCAGTTCTTAGGTCCAGGGGCGCGTGGAGCCCTACGGACCAAATCCAGATTGTTCGGGCAAAGGGCACAGGGGGCTTACGCTTCGGGAGGCTTTCCTTCGTCTTGTGTCCGCTTGAGGCCGCCGCCATGTGCTCCCGCACCGCCTCGGGCGTCACTACCGCCGGGACGGTGATCTCCATACCGTCCTTCGGCGTTGTTGGCAGACGATATCAATCAAAGGGCACCCGTTTTATCGAGGTTTACAAGGGAGCCTAGGACTTATCCCAACAAAAAGGAATCTCTGGGGTTCGCATGTTGTGGATTCACAGGGCTCCTTCCGGCTTCATAATTAGTCCAGATGGCCCTGGGACTCCAAGCTTAGGCTTTTGCAGGGTGGTGCTGTGACCCTCACAGAATATTCTAAGGTGGCCTGCAGACGTGTCTGACTTTGGGTACAAGGGGCCCCAAAAACCCCCCAAAGGTAGGAGGGCTGCGGTTCCCAAATTTAACAGGAACGCTAATCATTTGCCAGGAGGGCCCTTGCCCAAATCTTGAGATCAGTCGAGGGCTCAGGGTTTGGTGGTTGAGCGTCGCCATCCTCGAAGGGCTGCTGGGACTTGGATCCATCTGTGACCTTGCGCGCAGGGGTAGATATAAAAGCTAAGGGTGCAGGGTTCAAAGAGTAAAGTTTAGGGTTTTTGCCATACTTGTAGGCGAATCCGTGGGCACGTGGGATGCGGCTTCAAACCGGGTGGTTAAGTGACCATTCGCAAATGAAGTCATTTTGTCTGTTCGTGTTCGTATACGGAGTGACGGGACCTGAAACATACGTCTCCCACACTCAGAAAAATCCATTGTATACAAAAGCCAATTCGCCGAGGTCCCCTCCACATGCCTTTTGCCAATGTGGAAAGTCTGCGCAGAATCTGGCTGATGGGGTGCATAAGATGCGGCCCGCCAACCCTGCTTGACACGGCTCTGCATAGCTTGCGTCAAGTGTACTGCCTCTGGGCCATAAAGCTACGTGCCCTTGATGACAGTGTCCTATACTTGCAGCTTCCAGTGTGTTGGACAGTTTTCCAGGTTAAATCTCCATTCTCGTGGTCTGTGTGTGCAGTCGTGAATGAGACACCCTACAATGTTACAAATTCTACGAACTCCTGTAAACCCGATACGCCCTACAAACCCTTGTAAACCCCATCACACAATAACTCCTGAGTAGTCTTCATTCTGAAGTAGGTGGGAATTGAGGGCGTCGCCCGAAACCGATGGTTTGGGTGGTTGCCTGTAGTGTCTTCCGAGGGGATGTGTGATGGAGAACTCCCAGCTTCAATGGGTCCTTTCACAACATCCAACAAGGGCGCTAGGCGCGTGATGTGCCGCTCCCCACAGACCCCAAGGAACGAAGTGGCGCCATCCTTGCGCGGATATTCATCCGGCACCCTAATCTAAGCCCTAAACCCAGAGCGCCTAAACTCTCCCTAAACCCCAAACTTTGATATCTAAACCCCACCTAAACCCCTAAACTTCGACCCTAAACCCTACCTGAACCCCTAAAACTTTGACCCTAAACCCTCCCTGGACCCCCCAAACTGTTACCTAGAGACCCCTGATTCCCCACCCTAAACCCTAAACCCTAAACCCAAAAAAACAAAACTGCTGAGACACAAGAGAAGCGCAGGCCTGGCCCGGCATCCTGTAGTCTGAGCAGAGGGACCAGCTGGACTCACTGCCTGAGGTTTAGGTTTAGGGTTTAGGGTTTAGGGTTTAGGGTTTAGGGTTTAGGGTTTAGGGTTTTGGGTTTAGGGTTGACGGATCTAGGGGTTTGGGGTTTAGGGTTTAGGGTTGAGGGATCTAGGGGTTTGGGCAGCCTTGGGGGTTTGAGGGTTTCAGGGGGGATTTGGGGGAGGTGAGGTTTGGGGGTCTAGGCGTTTTGCGATTTTTTGGGCTTCGAGTTTTGGGGTTTGAGGATCCCCGAAACCTGGGAAGAAAAGGGGTGCCCTTCGACACTATGAACATCAGAATCCACCTTTGCTGGCACCAAATATTCCTGCTAAGCCATTGCTAGCAAAGCTAGAGAGAAGTGGATGATCAACTTTCAGACCAGAATAGCAAAGTATGGGGCCTTGAGGTACTTTGTATGATATATAAGGTTCCTGAAACAACAGGTGCCGTAAATGTCGCATGCCCGCCCAGCCTTACCCTTGCTCCCCTGCTTTCAAAGCTCCTGACTGAGCTAGCTCCTAACAGGTAGGTGGTTTAGGATATAGGGTTTAGGGGGGTTTCGGGAGACATTCTGGTACATTAAGTACTCACGGAAGAGTGGGGACAACCCGCCTGCTTGGCCCACAGCTTCATTCTTTGGTACCCAAACTTGGCTTAGGGTTTAGAGATTGGCTCCCCCGCCCCTCCCCACCCCCACCCAAACACCTGAAATCACCTCCCCCCGAGCAACGGGCCCTCCACGCGCAGCGCCAGAGGTCGTAAAGCCTGCGCTCTTGCTGAATCGTGGGGGCCTTGGGGCCAGAACTGAGTTTAGGAGGATCCAACGATTCAAAGTGTTGTTGGGTTGAAGGTGTCGGGTCAGTCGGTCAGTCTCGCTAGCAGCAGCGGGCCGCACAGACACAGCCGCAAACAAAAACAAGGTAGCACGCGCGCTGGAGTGCCCTGCGTTTTGTTGGCATGCGTTGGGTGTGGTTAAGTTGGAAAGTGTAAAAAACCGAGGTTTTTGACTCATTCCGGTTTTCCGAACCAGGAAGACACGCCACTGATCCCTCGAAGGGCGGGCGCTTTTTCTTGAAAATGAGTGTTTCGCCTAGGCGGGAGCCTTGTTTTGAAAGACAGGAAAACCGAAAAGTTGTGTATACCTGTTCTAGGTGTTTTGAGCTTATTTGTAAGGACTGCTTTCAAGAGAGGATTTGGGAATGTTTGGGCTTGGACTGCTTTGGGGATGCTTGGGCTTGAAGGTTTTGGTCAAAAAGGCTTTGGGAAGGTTTGGGCTTTGACTGCTTTGGTGGGCTTGAAGGTTCAGGCAAGAAAGGATTTTGGGATGCTTGGGGCCGGCTTTGTTTCGGGGGGGAGATGCCTGCAGCAAGTGCTATGTATATTCGCAACATGGCTATTCCCAACATGGATATTCCCCACATGGATATTCCCAACATGTATATTCCCAACATGGATATTCCCAACATGGATACTCCCAACATGGATATTCCCAACATGGATATTCCCAACATGGATATTCCCAACCCCCCCCCCCCCAAGCCCCCCAAGCTGGAAACCCAGGAAACTCAGGGCACACGAGGGTGCGTCCTACCAAAAACAAGCCCAATAAGCTTGGTTTAAGGGTACCGGTCCCAGTGAAACAGTTGTTCAAGATCGTTTTGTTGTGAGCATGTTTGGTATGAGAAAAGGGTGCTCGAAAAGTGTGCCTGCCCACACGTTGTTCGACATCATCGGTAATCTGTGCCCGAAAAAGGTCCTTGTTCTAGTGTGTTGCTATCTTGCGTCTACTTCCACACAGTGTGGCCCATGGCTCGATTTAACATCTCCTTGGATTGTGTTCAAACACAACAAAACAGAATTCGTAAGGGGACTACAGAGCCACCTCGTTCAGGATCGCCTTCGTCTCGGCAGTGCGAAAACCGCCAGAGTTGAGCGTTAAGACCTGACATTGCCACTACGTTCTGCGAGGGAGGGGGGTGGTGTCTAGGGTTCGAGGATATTGTGGCACATGGACGTAAGTACTCATGAAACACAAACCGAACGCGACGTTCATATAAGAGACCAACCTGCAGGGTTGCAGTCTGTCTTGCTATCGAGATGAAGACTTTCCTGCAACACGGCCGCCGTGCACGGTTCTAACATGCCAGCAACGCCAGACTTCCACCGGCAGGAGCTGGCGACCTCGATGGTGCTATGCAATATAACGAGAGCTAAGCCCATAAAATTCATACATAAAAACACATACAAATACATACATACCTAGACGCATATTCTACGTGTTGAATCCGAGAACGCTGTGCATGCGTGTCGTACTGACACGTACATCGACGAACGTGCCAGAAGCCCGAACAAAACTGGATACCACATGACCTTTGTGAGACTCAAAAGGCCAACCTGCAATATGAATGATTCAAGGCAAGTGGCTTTTCTGTCTTGTCGCTGTCGGCGACGGGTGGCGTCTCCTAAGCCCCATCAACTTGGAAACTGATTTCGACCCCGAGTGACCTCGATGATGGTACGTAGATCGCGGGCCCAGGGTACCGAATAAGACTTCATTTGGAAAGCTATGTGACTTGGGTTTAGACGTGCCCCTTTCGGAATTCAATGATTCAAGGTTAGTGTAGGGGGGCTTTACTCTCACCGGCCCGGATGTCCTTCCGATTCTTCACAATGAGCACCTGCGAAAAGCAACAAATGCAGGTCAGGAAAGTGATTACCAGGTACCACGTGCGGGCTTCGACAGCCCATGGACAGCAAGCCACTGTCATGTTCCACCTTGATTTCAACAACATGATCAATGTGGTGCCTGCAGTGTCTTGCCACTTACAAACCGCTGAAAAACGTACTGAAACGATGAATGGACTGATATGATAATGGAAAATAGGAATAAAAAAATAGAACAATAGACGAATGGAATAAACATAACATTTGTAACATTTGAAGCCAAAGGCATCCAAAAAACTACAATAAGACCATAATGCCATGATACGAGCAGACCATAATAACTGCAGACCATAATAACTCAACAATATATGAATACTACAAGGATAGATAATTGGTGCGCAATCATATAACAGTATACTAAACGAAACATGTAACATAACGACAGAATTTTCATCACCAAATAACATCATAGAAGAATGCTACTATCTTGGACTCTGGAGAGTAACCCAATCCCCAGTCGCTGCTTGGACCACTAGGGCTTGGAGACCCCGATGTTTGAGGGGACGATTTCGTGGCTTTGGTGCACGGGGCCGTAAACAAGTACCAACAGCTGCATGCTATTTTGGGATTTCTAGGTTCAAGGCTCCGGGGCAAAGCCGGACCTCTGTTTCATAGAGCTTGATGACCAGCTCCTTCTCCTGAGCGTGACGTGAACCCTAGAACATGACCGCCATTAGGGCAAAGCCCACACCACCAAACCTTGGACGCTAAATCCTGAACGCTAGACACCTCCGGACCCTGGTCCCTGAACCTCAAAACCAGACTTACAGGTTATTGGGAGAGACGGCCCCCCCCCCCCCCCCCCCCCCCCCCCCCCGAAAATAAAAGCGGACCGTGCCAAGCGCACTGTCGGGAAGGTGGCCAAGCAAGGCTACACCTGGGCCCTCGCATGTGAAAGGCTTCCTCTGGGTGTAGGGGTTAGGGTCGAATGGTGTTTGGGGTTTGGGGTTTAAAGTTTAGGGTTTGAGGGCGTTAGGGTTTAGGCTTTGGGGTCTGGGACGCCTGCACTCAAAGCAAACTGGCTAGGATCGCTCAATGTTGATGTATGCATGTATTTCTTTCTTATCCTGCCTTGCTTGCAGATTCCCCAAAGCGGCTCATTCCAAGCTTGCCCCTCTACCGGCCTTGCAGCCCAACCACAAATCTTACACCAACAATGCTGACCCTGTCAGCTCCCGACTCCTTCAGGGTCGAGTACCCTAGTTGGAGGGCACCCCACCCATTGCGCATCAGACCTGGTAAACTCCACAATCTTCTTTTGCGACTCCCTTATTGAAGAGCCCTGAAATCCCAGCAACGCCTGCACGCGTTGCATGCTCCGAGCACCAGGCAGCATTGAAGAAGCATTGGGTCTTCAGCAGAGCCTTCTCCTTCGCAGCCACAGACTAGGGCTTTAGGGTTCTGAGGTTCCTCTTTGCCGGACCAGCCCACCCTTCCCCGGCTTGCAATAATTTAATGGCAACGTGTGGTGGCGGCATGTAGCAACCAGAGCACCCAGACTTCCGCTGTTCCCAAAGACCTTGGTCAAGGCCTCGGAGAGACGAAACCGTAAACTAACCAGCTGCAGAAGAAATGCTAAACGCTGGGGCCCCCCGAATCCCACTCTAAGAGTTCACAAGGCCTCCGGGCCCTCCTCTTAATACTCCGACTGCCAAAGAACAAGGCACCCTTGAACTCAAAACTCGGATGTTTTGGAACGCTCCACACAACTGCCTCTTGTCCACATCCTCATCCCTAACACCAGATATTTCATTCTACGCCTCCCACGAAAAGAGGGTGCCACCCTCAACATCATGTCTTTCGATACACAGAAGGGGGCTCCTCAGGGGGAAGCCGCTGTCGACCCTTTCCTTTGCCCTTGCCGTCACCTTTCGGGTGGCTGGCCCAAAGGGCTTCGTCCGGAGATTTCCGGGGTCACTCACAGGGTCCTCAAGCCTCGCCCCCAAAGCATTGCTCTTTAGGGCTTGTAAGCTTTCGGGGACATGTACCCCTTCTAAAGAGGCTGCCTTGGGCGACCCTGCCTGGACACTGCACCTCCAAACCTCAAAACCCTACATGAGCCCTTCAGCCGCTTTGAACTTTGCAAGGGATACTAGGAGGGATCCTAGAAGGACTCTTAATCCCGACCCAAAGCACCTACAGCCCTGACTCAGGTCCCTCCTTTAGTGCCTTGATGGTCTTGGGCTTCTGGTTTGCTTTTTCAAGCTTAGGCTCTAAGGAACATCTGAGCACGTGGTGTAGCGGTAGGGTTTAGGGGCTTTGCTTTGGCTGCACAAGTAATACTGACTCCGGAAGCAAGACCCAGCTACAACACGCAAATTCTTCCCCTTTGCATCGAGGTCTGTGGACCATGTACTGGCCTCATCACCCCCACCCCCGCCCCCTCCCCCAGCAACCCTGAAGTTGCCCAGGCCCTAAGGACCCTTGGTACATCTGCAAAGCTGGACCCACTCCGGTCTAAAGCGTGGATGCCGCACCTCGGCCAGCTGCCTCAGGCAACCAGAGAGCGGCGGTCAGGGAAGGTGGTTGCTGGGTGTGTGGCCCCCCAATCAGCGCTTTCGTTCGAGGTAGCCCATTATGATGCCTTTTGCTGCCCCTGTTGCTTAGATTTCAAGATGAACGACAAGAATCATCATCACAACAAGAGGCATCACAATAATCGTAAGCAGCAGGATATCAACCATAATCCATAATCCCAATCCCTACAGACAGGTTCTTCGGTGGGAACATGATGGAGGACTGGGAGTAGCCAGCAGGGGCTCCAAGTGGAGAGGGTTGTTTAGGGTTTAGGGCTGCACATGACGGATCTTTAGATCTCATGCAGCCTGAACGCCCCCGAAACCTCCTTTCAAAACCTTTGACAACCTCACCTGCTACGACTCGAAACCTTGGTTGCACTTTGCCTTGAAGGGGGCTAGAACCCGACAAACCTCTAAGCCCCAAAAAACCCTAAACCCCTGGGGTTCACCAAACCCCTAACCCTAAACGCTGCAGCAACAAAACTCAACGTAACCTCTGATGGCAAAAACTTCCCCCAGGTGGTATACTGTGCCCTCCAAGGTTCAGGGCTCTGCCCTTCATTCTAATGGTTAAGTTACTTTGCTTAGCCATGATGACCGTGGCGCAGTATCTATAGAGTCCAGGGTATGCATACCCTTAGAGCCGTGACAGACGTTTATCATATTGTCTGGGGCATTCTGAGAAAAATGCAAACTAAGGGCAGCCATCGGGTCTAGGGTTCAACCAAAACCCCTGAAACCGCATCGGGGGTAAGTCAACAGGCTGAGCGCGCAACCGCGACACCCACGGCTCGGGCCCTGACGTACGGCCCGTCGCGGTCCCGGTCCCCTCCGGACTTCTTCCCGGCCTTGCCGCTGCCCACGGGTTTCCGGGTATTTGGGGGATTCAGGGGTTTTAGGGTTTAGGGCGTTTAGGGGCGTTTTTTGTGAGGATATCAGCATCAGAGCAACCCTAAGCCTCCTTTAACAGTAGGAAACCTTTCATTGGGTGCCTTGAACTTACGGGCCTGTACTATAACAGCGACCCGAACTTGGGTCGGGAGCAACCTCCGAAACGCAAAGGGGGGGGTTCCCTTCCGCTGCGCAGGGTATACGAGGGAGCTTAGTCTGTCAGAACTGGAATCATGGAACTTTGCGGGCATCTAAGAAAAAGACGGCCACATCGTGAACTCAAACATGCGAAAGCGGCTGGACCGTAGCTGCTCGACTTCCGACCGGATTTCGGATCCTCGCCAGGGCTCATGTTTTAGCAGGGCAACAGGGTTTAGGGTTCAGGCCTCAGGGTCTAGGGAGTCTAGGGGGCATCCCATTCAGACTTAGAAGGCTGCTATTGTTGGGCGAGGAGGCGAAACACAGGCATCAATAACCTCACGGGCTGAACGGTGACATCATGAGAGAACTGATCATCCAGAAGGCATGGGCATTTTTCCAGAAAGAAAGGCACCTTATGCACCAAACTACTTACTACTATCCGCATCGAAGGAGAAGCCGCAGAAATGACGGGCAAGGAGGACTGCGATCCTGCTTGCACCAAACACTTAAGTTCCCCCCTTGTACTAGAACATGCCACAGCAGGTACTTGTCAGTTTCGTTCCCCCTTCATATCATCCCTACAGGAGGCTGTTACTTCCAAGCTGGAGGGAGCATTCGGAACTGAAATGCAAACCCTGAGCAAGCACCATGCCACCATCTCATTGTGGCTCACCGAACCCTAAAACTCCAAAACTCTACACTAAACTCTAAGTCTAAAAAGCACACCCTAAAACCCTGAATTTTAAACCACAAGCCGCACCTGATCGCCTGTTTTCCAACTGTGAAGGCATGCCAGGCCTCTGTCTTGACCAGCTCGTCCAAAGCCTCCAGGTCCCGCTTCGGGGTTTGGGCTTCAGTTCCCCCCTGGCTTACTTTGGGGCCCGGTGATCCCCAAACAGCCATGGCCTCTTTCTGTGTCAACCTTTGGGGTCGACCAGAAGAGGCATCGCGAATTTCTTTTGCTCAACCACATGTGTATAATATCATAATGCAATGAGACCTTACTCACGATGCTACAGTCTCAGTAGCAGATCTTGCAGAATTATAAGGCTTTGCTTGTTTTCAAAAGTATTTGTACTTTGAAAGCAGCAATAGAATGCATCCGCCTTCCTCCTCTATACTAATCTGAGGCGCACACTTGTATAACTAGCACGCGCTGCATTTGTGAGTTGTTAACAAAACAAGACTCATCCTTTGTTCATAACTAGGGCGAGTTTTGCTTAAATTGTCAAATTCTTCAAGCTTAACACACCTAAGCCTAAGCGGGAATGTAATCAGTACTGGGGCGAAATCTACTGTCATTAGGCGCCACAGTGAACAATCATGTAATTAAAGGCAAAAGGGTAAGAGAACCAGTTCAGTAAGCAAAGTCAGCCCCGAAATAGATCAGCCATGGCAAGGGACGATTATGTTTCCTCAATGCTAGTAGAATATTAAGCAGAATAACAATGCGCGATGTCACGAAATCAACGTAGGAGGTGTCTTCAATTGGCAGGTCAAGCTACTCATCTGAGGGCAGCCCCGTAAACTGAGGGCAGCCCCATAAAAAATTGGAAGACGTGATGCTTTGATAGAAGAGGTGGTTTAGTTAATGCAATTCGTTTGAAACATGTTCGCACTCTTCCTCACAATGAGGGGCTAGTCTGTGTAAATTTATGAAAGGACTAAAGCTGGAAAACTCCAAGAGGAGGTTAATCATCTTTCATGAATCTGAAGCCCTTGTTATTGAATGTTTGCCAGGTTATTCACGAAGTCAACTACTATACTGCATATCTGATGTGTCGACTTATTGTAAGTAGGAAATGCCACCTTTTGTTCTGCAATCATACTGGCTGTTTAGGTAGTACAGTGAGCCCTTCGGTTGTGCCCCCATGATAGACCACGGGTTTAGGGATAAGGGTTACAAAAAGGGTTCTGGGTTCGGGGGGATGCCATGGGGCTGCCACGGCGGGGGGGAAGGCAGAGCGCTAACCATGTGCATATACATATATATATATATATAGAGTATAAAAACGTGCCTACACAATCTGCGTGTGCAATTGAGTGCATTGAACTTCAATGACTCAAGTGCACGCCCGAACCTGTTTGCAACACCCGAACTGAAACTCTGCCGAAGGAGCCAAAACCTTGTGTTCTTGTAGGCTGCCTACGAAAGTACAAAAGGCTAGGGATCCTTTACATGAAGGATCTGGCAAGTTGAGGCTCTGGCAAAAAAAAAAAAAAAACCTACTGAAAGGCAAGCCCGCCATGTCCAGCTTCTGCTCGATGCTCGTAGGACGACCCATCGCTGCCTCGCATCCGCCCCTAAGGCCCCTAAGGACCCTAAGGCTGGGATGTTCCCCTTCTTCTGACCATCCTGAAAAGGGATTCTGGTACCCCCGGTTATATTCCCTGCATGGTGAAAGGTTCATGCTACGAGTTCCGGTGCGCTGCTTTTGCGTGTCCAGAATAACCTTCTCGGGGTCCCCGTGTAAGTAACGTAAAAGGGAGTCCTTACAATAAGAAGGGAGGGGCCTCTGAATCTGAGACTACCCAGCTGTGGGGTCTTTTGACTGAAGGGCCGAAGGTCTACTGACCTGGTTGCGGGTTGTCAAATCATCAGAACGACGACTGTGGTCATCATAAACGTAGTCGACATAGTCACAATGGAGCAACAATCAGAGTCGTGATAGTCGCAATAGTCCTCATTATCAGAATCATCGTCTTACGAGTCATGCAACCATGAACATCATACTGATACTCGTAAGACCTCGTAAGCCAAGCCAAGAGAGATTCAGGCCGCCACCGTGCGCTGTTCACGCAGAGGTCCGCGAAGCGGCACGCACTGCTGACAACGAAGCACTCTAAAATCTGGATATGGAAGGTTTAAATGTGGGGTTTAGGGTAGGGTTCGGGGCCACTTGATTCTGCATTAGAACCCGCGCGGCTACTTCGGCTATTACAGCTGCCTTGCTTGGCACGACTCTGCATCAGTGGCGCGCCATTTCGTTCAGCAGCGTTGGGTAGCTTTTCCTTAGGCTTCCTGGGAGTGGGCTGACGTGGACGGGGCTGAAGGTGTGAAGTCTGCGGTTGGGTCCTCGGATCTGCAGCCGATGTGCTGATGCAAAGATTCAGTTGTTTGCAGGCCCTGTCTCGAGCAGAGTCTGTTGAACTCAACCTCAACCTCAGCCCAACTATAACAACAGGAGCACAGTTCGGAGTACACATTTCTGCTGGCGTCTACAAAGGGGGAAAGGGCACCACCGCAAAACAAAGGGTTCAAGTCTCAGGTTGCACCAATAAGAAAAGATCGCGGTGGTGTCCAACTCTTGCACGCATCAAGAATACAGGCAGCACCGTTAGTAGTGCTGTCAGCAAAACATGCGCCGGGCTTTTTGCTGAGCGTAGCAGCTGTCGTCCAGCGAGAAGGAAACACTGCCCGCACTCGTGGAACGATTCCACTCGCCGCAAGTGACGGCTTCCACCATCTTCCACCCCAACCACAAAACAAACCAAGCGGTTGGATACGACGCTTCCTGAGCAACATCCTTTCACGAACCCCTCCCTCTCTCTGGCAAGCGCTCAAAGCCCAAAGCAACAGAAGCAAAACACTGGGGCAGACCGATCTCTCGGACTCAGATCAGGTGGTGACGAAGCAGCGCCTGTCTCCGTCAGCTTCGGATGTTGCCGGCAACTTCCGGAAGCACAGCTCAGAGATGCTCAGAGCGCCAATCCCTTTTCGTCAGGTCGGGCGGGTTGGCGTCAAGCCCGCTTGTCCTCTTCCTACTTGCTACAACGGCACTGTGCTTGGCACTAGGTGCTTCATGATGCTTCATGGTGGGCCTCCCGAGATGAGCCTCAGAATCGACTGAAGTCCCCTCAATCTCGAAATTGCACTCGGAGACGCTCGGAGTCTATGGGAAATATGGGAGATGCGCTCCTTTGGGGCGCATCAGATGGCAAAAGCACAAACTCCGCTAGGAAAACATAGGAAAACTTGAAAGAATTGAATAGTCAGATGTAGCGGCCTTGCGCCCTATGCACACTCTTCAGGCCAAGGGCACAACGTACTGAGATTGCACCACGTAGGTCGGAGACACCAGAATGCGAGAGCCGTGGGGTGCGAGGTCAACCGACATCCCGTACAGGTCCTTCATCTGCTTGCAGAGGTTGTCGAAAGACTCGGGAGAAACCTGGTGGCAATCCTTGTCCACATGCCAAGTGATGACGTATGGAGAGCACACTGAGTTGTCGTGCGACTGGCCGGTGGTTGACCTGGGATCAGAAGCTCAAGCGCGGGGCCGGACTTATGATATCTACTTGAGGGCCATGGCGCCTCTTGGTGACATGGTGCTTAAGGCTGAAAAGTTTCGGAGGGTCTTGTGTGGCTTGGGGTTTGCGGCTAAAGCTCTGCGCTTGGGGTTTGGGGCTGCAGTGCTGTCAGAGACTCAACACTTAACGACTTCACAAGGAAACAATGCCTCTTGCAAGCCACGTGGCCCAGAGTACATGACGGAGTTGTTATGTCCAACAACAGTCCAGCCGTGCAGCAGATCGTTCACAGTAGGCCCCCCGTTCACGATCTGGTAGATCTGGCCCTGCACCACGACCATAGGGTTCAGAAGGCCACGGCCGTTTGCGGCACCTGCAACGTGAACACGCGCTCAGATGCTTTCGATATAACCCCTTAAAGCATCAAGAGCTCTGGCAAGCAGTGCCTCACCAAAGCAGCCAAGAGTAAAACGTCGGCTATCGGAGACTCACACACACACCTACACACCCAGCACGCCCGCATTCGCGCACACGTTGACTCACCTATGCTGACGGTCACTGTGTGACAAGCGGGTCAGGGTGGTTGGCTGCATGCTCACGTGCCTCCCAAACCATCCGCGAGGAGGTCTGCGTTCATGCCGTCCGAAGCATCGTTGTCGGTGCCGGCTGAAGAGTGCACGTAGTGGACCTCGTAGGACTTGCCGACCTGCACGTCACCCGTGCAGTGCTGAAAGGTGTACGGTGTCATCTGCGCGTCAGTGAGAGTGTCCGTTGGGCACATGAAGCCAGGCCGTGGGTTGCTCGCCAGGCGCCTGCCGGAGGAGGCCGCGTCGTACGCCATCGCATCGGTGTCGTTGTTGTAGGCATCGCTCTTATGCTCAGCCCCCAAGTGGAAGTGCACGTTCACCAGCGGCAGGAAGTTGGCCTGGGCATCCGTCAGCGTGGCCGCCTTCGGCACCATGCTGCCTGTTGCGCCAGTTGAGAGATCACGAGGCGTCTGAGGCTCGGCCGTGTTGCAAGCTGGCTTGTTGAAGTTGTACGGGCAAGCGGGAGAACCTGGCACGGGGTTGCTCAGAACTGTAGTCGGGGAGCCACAGCACGCCTCACTCTTGTAGAAGTCCTTCAGCTCGCCGCAAGTGACGGCTTCCGCCCCGACAGCCAGCGCCAGCACCAATGCCAAGCCTGTGGCAACCTTGGGCCGGGCCGTGGCGAGGGGCAGCACCAGCGCCATCCATGGCGAGCTGCGGAATCCGGAGCCCGTCTCCTCACCGGTTGTCTCGCAAAGATCCACCTCCGGGTCGTCAGGGCACGTGGCGATGGCGACTTTGGCGAGGCAGGCGATCACCGCAAGCAAGCGCAACATGGCTGGGGATTAAGGTCTGTGTTTCGTCACAACTTTCAGCAATGCAGACCCTGCTCTGACTTTCAAACACTCCGCGCAGAGAAGATTCTCGGTCTAAGTCTAGGGTCTTTTAAGGCCTAAGGGATATTGTTTTGGAAATTGGGAGTGGTTGAGGGTTCGGGTTCAGGGAGCTTCACGGATACTCTGTTCATGCCTAGTTGTGCCTGCAGGATGACGGACACGTCGATAATCAGAACTGAGCTTCAACTCCCTGATTCCTCGTAGTCGAACCTGAGAAGGTGAAGGGTCTCCACTTCAGGACGAAGACAAATGCAGAACCCCACTCCCACCACACGAACAGCGCAGGTCCAGGCCCCAAGCGCTCTTGGAAGGCGTCTGGGACTCGCAACAGGGGATGCCCGCAGCTCTCCAAGCCATCCAGGACCCTCAGCGACGCCGCCCTCAACGTCCGAAACTGCTCTTGGGATTGAATTGCAATAGAACCCCCCCTTCTAAGTCATCCAGGCTCACTCTATGACAATGGTTTAAACAGCTGTGAAGAGGAAAAACAAGTCCAAGCCTCAACAGGAAGGCCACACTGCTCGAAGTGCGTGCTTTTGGGATTGCAGGCTCTGTCTGCTTTAGAGACAGATGTTGCTGTGCCGCATCGAGTGTCATCTTAAGCAGGAGGCAACGTGCTCTGCGCGGGGGTCCGTCCATGTCACTTTAGCAGAGGTGCACGGCGCATGGTTCCACATTTGATTGGGCTGCTTTGAATGATGCCATCAAGGTGATCCATAAGGACCATCATGGGGAGTTTTTCCGGTGCTGCTTTCTTCTGACTCCACCATGTGCATATACTTCCATCACATGATGTTCGAGAAAACTGTCGGAAGCGGAAGCTCCCTGCAAAAGCAGCTCGCAGCGGCCGCACAAAAAAAAGGCGCTGGGAGGCCAAGGGCATCATATGTAGTAATACAGTGTCAATTTAACATAGAATATACTAATATACCCATAACACTGAAATATATAATATTACAATACTATAAGCATAACAAATATGAAATGTAGCAACATAATAACATAATAAGTCATAATGTAAAAATGACACTGAATTTGAAAAGAAAGCAAGAAAACAATGTATCCGCCGAGGCCTCGGGCCGAAGGTCGGGCCCCTTTTTTTAGCTGACCACAAACTGAAAGCGGACGGTTCGTCAGGATTAGGGGCAGTTGAACCCCCCCCCCTTTTCCCCCCACCTGCCCCCCCCTGCCCCCCCCCCCCCCCCCCCCCCCCCCCCCCCCCCCTTGCATCAATCCAAGCGTCTCAACCCTCAACCGTGAACCTTGAACCTTGAACCCTACTAACCCTCAACCCTAAACCCCAAACCATAAACCATAAACCCGGAACCCTAAACCCTAAACCCAACCCTTACTGCTTGGGGTCCAGCGACATGGGCGCTGCGGAATCACCATGCTCACGCGGATGTGCTGGGCCGGGCCGAGGCGGGTCGCGTAGCGTTAAAATTAACATAATAATAGAATGATACACTAATATAACAAGAATAGAATAATATCAAAAAATCCAAATAATATAATAATATAACAAAATCATAAGATTCTCAGATACTAATATAATAATATAATAACATAATAACATAATAACATAGTAATATAAGATATAACAATACAACAATATAACAATAAAGCCATATAACAATATATGAATATAAGCATATATTTATTTAATATAATAATCATATAATATAAAAATCATATAGTATATAATATATAAAAAGATCATATAATCATATAATCATATATCATATAATCATATAAATATATATCATATAAATATATCCTAGAATCATATAATATATTAATGTAGACTAATATAATTATATACAATTAATCAGACAAAAAAAAAAAAACAAAAAAACAACAATATAACAATACAACAATATAACAATATACTAATATAATATAATACTTTGATCATATATTGATATAATACTCTTTTTCATAAATGGAATACATAATTACTTACTAGTATGATTCTGTGATAAGATAAATATATAATCATGGAATCATCGAACAGAAAGGGATGACAGAAAAATAGAATAATAGGATAATAGGATGATAGGAAAATAGGATAGTCGAATAATAGAATAATAAAATGATATAATGATACAATCATAGAATAATGGAATAATCGAATATTATAATACTATAACGAGAGAATAATATAACAATAAGCACATATTTATATAACAATATGATGATAATGTAATAAAAAAATAAAATACTTTAAATGTATGTAGCAATAGAGAAAACTCCGTAGAAAACTAATCAAATAATATGTAGTAGTAGAATCTTTGATGGTATACAAATATGCTAACAAAACGATTTACTAAGAAAACCTACCAAATCAAGGAAGACGCGGCAGGCCTTTGCGGCTTCTAGCTCGGACAATCTCACTCGACGAAAATTTGATGTGAGGAACCGCCAGGCTGATGCTCAACCCCTGTCGGTGTATGCGTGCACCTAAAGTTTTGAACCTTTTGAAGGGTCTTCGTTTATGGCTGTCAAGTGGCTGTCCAGGCATCGCGGCTTTTTCCTGCTCAGCAAAGTTATCGTTATGATAACAATGGTACACATGAACGGAAACTGTTCGTCTTGATACCAAGAAGAGCATCAGTAATAGTAGCAATAGCAATTGCAATAAACATAATGGAGTAAACAACAATGATTGCATGCTCGGCCTACGCTAGTTTAAAGAGACTGCACTGCAATGTCGGACAGGGTACGACCAGAACTGTTGAGGACTGCAAAATACGATGCATCAATGTCGAACGGCTCATGAAACCTTGCCAAGGACACGAGCAGCGAAAGCGTTGCAGTCCTTTTCTGACTTTCTATGAGAAAAGTCGGCCTTCTCCAGCGCGCTACAGCTCTTCTGTCCAGGTGGGCTCTATATCAACTTGCAACAGGGTGGTTCCGGCCTCATTCAGCTCAGCTTGTTCATCATAGATTCCAATAAAATCATCATGGGGAAATGGCTCATTCGGAACAGGTTTCCCCAGAAACTGACAAAGTGGGCGCCAGCCATCACTTAAATTGAAAATCAGCAGCCTCTCAGGCGGAATGACTTGTTTAACATGTGCCACATGAGCTTCGTACCCACTCTGGCAATTCTTCCTCTCATCGTCACTCATTCCGTGGAGCCTGTCAAAACGGCAGCCCCAATATCGAACAGCGACGCACTTGTCATTCGCAAAAGTTGCCCCGAAATGGCCGGTCCAGAACCCATCAAGCCAAGCTTCGAGCTCCTGTTTCTCGCGCTTCACTTTCAGGCCGCGTATCTTGTTGCGCTCGTATCTGAAGTACATTGAATTCCAGTAGTGTTTCGTTGAGTTCCACCACTTCTCCATTGGTTCCAGAGGTAGCACAAATTTGGAATTGGGATACGTGTCTCTTACGAACTCGTACTCCAAAAACAAGGGCTCATCCGCCGCAGCATCATAGCCCTCGAAGAGTTCTATCATGCTCTCGTTGGTCCCGTTTGCATACAAGTGACGGCAAGCCACAGGGCGGGAGGATTGCATGAAGCCAGAGTGCAGCACGTTCAAGCCAAGCTTTGTGAGGGCATCGGCGATGGACTGGGTTCCAGTTCGTGGCGGCCCCACGTCTAGTACTTCGAGCCCAAAGCCTCGCACCATGATGTTGTACAGCAGGAACTTGGACAGACGCGAACCCGCCATTTAAGCGGACAAATATCTGAATCAAACAATTTGTGTTTTAGCAGCCTGTCGGCCGGCTTCTGCGGCCGACGCATTGCGCTCGAGCCAAGAGGCAGCATGATCAGATCATGTGCCCTTGCGTTCAAGGAAGTCTGCTGCATTGGCAAGCAAGACCGCAGGAACTCCACCACAGCAACACGATGCAACAAGGCAACTTCAACCCGGATTCCTCAGGACTGACCTCGAGATCGCCCGTGTTTAGCGAGGTGGTCCTCAGTCGGGCGAGGGAGGAAGAAAAACTGTTGAAGCACACGAATCTATCTACTGTCCCTTTAAACAGCAACCCTCAACCCCAAACCCCAAAGCTCAAATGTAAAGCCCTGCTCAAACCCCACCCCTACTTGGAGGTTCATGGGCACTATCTACCCATGAACCTCCAAGCATTCTTGACACCCCTTACTGCACTCGCAAACCCCTCAAGGCCTAGGACCTGTCGGGGGGCGCGGGCTTGGGTTGAGGACCTTCAGGCTCGAGTCCGGCTTGGGGAGTTGGTGGCTTAGGGTTTAGGGGTTAGGGGTTAGGGAAACCTGAACCCTAAATATCCAGATCCCCAGACCTCCAAAGGGGGGTTAATTCTGGGAGAAGGTCTGAGAGGACAATCCGTCCAAGGATCCAGGCCGAGGTTTGCCCAGCCTTAGGAATCCCTTGTGGGGCTAAAACCTCCCAACCGATCTAGATGGCCTTCTGCGGGCTTGAGTGGAGGGTTTGCCTAAACTAAGCCAACTAAACTTTAAATCCGGAACCCCAAACCCCGCTCTGCACCCTAAACCCTGCTCCAGACCTTTGTGCACTGCAGATGTTGAAGCGCCCGGATCTTGCAGCAGGCAGCTCATCTCATGCAAGACAAGACGGGCATGTGCTGGAAACAAGCGCAGATTACGGGCCTCCGAGATTTCCAAGGAGTCCCACTGTGAATTCGACACTTCAAACACAAAGCCCCGAGCCCCGAGCTTAGCAGGCTTAGCCGTCGTACTCACCCTCCTCCTCGTCGAACTCACCCTCCTCCTCGGCGGTGGCATCCTGGTACTGCTGGTACTCCGACACCAGGTCGTTCATGTTCGACTCTGCCTCGGTAAACTCCATCTCGTCCATGCCTGCCATATGGGGGGGGGAGGGGGGGGTCCCTTTTGTTTTCAGGGAAAAAAACTCTCTCAAAGACCGACTCTCGTTACATGCGTGGCTGGCCGGGCCTTCACCGGTGTACCAATGCAAGAACGCCTTGCGGCGGAACATGGCCGTGAAGTACTCCGCCACGCGCTTGAACATCTCCTGGATGGCCGTGGAGTTTCCGGCGAAGGCCACCGCCATCTTGAGCCCCTGTGCAGGGAGCATGGCACCCAACAACAAAGTTAAAACCCTCCTACCCGGAAAAGCTTCTGCTTGTGTGCACGCCTTTGGCGGGATGTCGCAGACAGATGCCTTGATGTTGTTGGGAATCCACTCCTTAGCACATGCGCCACATGTGCGCTCACGGTTCAACCCATTTTAAAGATTTTTAAGAGCATGCCAGGCTGTGACGATGCGTGAGGCACGTGCAGGCAGGGCACCACGAAGTAGGAGGAGTTCTTGTTCTGGACGTTGAGCATCTGCTCGTCGACCTGCACGTTTGCAAGTGAAGCAAGATGACACGGTCTTGACCCCACGATGTGTCCGAAAAAGAGTGAACGAATCGCGCGCGCACGGTCTGGAGGACCTCCTTGGTCGACATCCTCCCTCGGAAGAGGGCGGCGGCCGTCAAGTAGCGACCATGCCGAGGATCGGCCGCGCACATCATGTTCTTCGCATCAAACCTGGCAGGTAGCATCTCTGAGAATGGAGTCGACATCAATGTCAAGAAGAAACTCAGACAAGCTTGCTCACCAAGGCTTAGGAGCATCTGTTGTGTCAACTCTGGAACGGTGAGGGCGCGGTACTGCTGAGAGCCGCGGGATGTCAGCGGGGCGAAGCCCGTCATGAAGAAGTGCAGGCGAGGGAAGGGCACCAGGTTCACGGCAATCTTGCGCAGGTCGCAGTTCAGCTGTCCAGGGAAGCGCAGACAGCATGTCACGCCACTCATCGCGGCAGAGACCAGGTGGTTCAGATCGCCGTACGTGGGCGTGGTCAATTTCAGGGTTCCTAAACTGCTTCAATCCCTACACAAAGATTTGTCAAGCCTAGACCGCACGGCTCTGGTACCCAAGTGAACCGCTTCCTTTCTCACCAAAGCCCAGGTTCTGAAGCAAATGTCATAGAGAGCTTCGTTATCCAACAGGAACGACTCATCGGAGTTCTCGACCAACTGGTGAAAGCTCAAAACCGCATTGTACGGTTCGACCACCGTGTCGGACACCTTTGGAGAAGGGATTACCGAGAAGGTCTCCATGATGCGATCAGGGTACCTCGGCAGCTGTTGATCTCACAAGTGCCAGCTTGCGTCATCCTAGCCATGGTGCTGAGTCAACCACCGTGCCTGTGACAAAAATGAAACTTCAAAACAACGTGTGGCCACCAGCTCTTGAACCCAGGCACTCCTCACGCACCTTCGAAATCAGAAGCGTGCCCATGCCTGCACCAGTGCCACCGCCAAGCGAGTGGCAGAGCTGAAAGCCTTGAAGACAGTCGCATCCTTCTGCTTCCTTGCGCACAACATCGAGCACCGAGTCAATTAACTCGGCACCCTCGGTGTAGTGGCCCTTGGACAACGTCTTTTAAGTGAGCACGCAGATCTGAAGTGCTTGCCAAAGTCATGCAGAAGCAAGGTGGAGAACATCTGACTAAGGACAAGTCTAGCTAGTCGCGCATTACTAGTATCTCCATTGTGCCGCAAATGTCCGCAACCACGTTGACACATGCAACATCATGCAACTGAAACATACGCAACTTTCATCCAAGATACTTTAGCCCAATTATTTCCAGCGCCCGTCTGGCCAAACACAAAGTTGTCCGGACGGAAGAGCTGACCGAAAGGCCCGGCTCGAACACTGTCCATCGTTCCTGAAACGACAGTTGCATCAGACACGACTCGCGTAACTCGCATAGCTGCAAGGCGCTGCAAGGACGGGCTGCACTCCTGGCTCAAGGTCCATGAGAATCGCACGGGGCACATAGCGCCCGCCAGTGGCCTCAGTGAGTTAGGCATGTGCATCGAACTGCAGGCAACCTAGCTCACCCGAAAGTTAGAGGCACCAAACGGCAGAAACAGCATTGAAGCCGCATGTCAACTATGTGACTATGTACCAAAAGCCCAGTCGCCTCATTGAAGTAGACGTTGATGCCTTGGCTAGCAGCGTGTCTCTCATGCTTCGCATGCTGTTTCTCTGTGGCGTACGGCTTGGATGCAAGCCTCGATGCGCTCAAGCTGAAGGTCCGAATCGCCATGATAGGTTCCGGTTGGGTCGATGCCGTGCTCGTCAGCAATCACCTCCCAGAACTTCGCGCCGATCTGATTTCCGCACTGGCCACCTTTGGATTTTTTTTTGGAGTGTGCATTTTCTCTGCCAGCAACCTCGACCCCTAGGCGGCTAGCGGCGAGTTGCTTGAAGCGACCGAAGCTGCGAGAGTTGCCCCCTTTTTTGTGAACCATGGCCAGAAAGTGACAATCAACTTCTGTACGTGCGGCTTAAAAAGTTTACGCCCATAAGTTATGGGGTTGCACACATGCATTCTGTTTTTCCTGCTGCCAGCTCAAACGGCCTTACACTGCAGCTGTCGAACAAACTGTCAAACAGCTGACAAAGAGCTCGGCCGCAGGGGTTATGAACTGCCCCAAGTCTTGATTCTTTTGTTGTTGAACATCTCAGTTGTGTGAACAGGAGCCGAGGGCTGACCAAAGTGTATCTTTAAGAACTCTAACGCGCCGGATGTGTCCACATGCTGAGCACGCTATCACCAATACACATGTTGCCACTTCTCAAACTCGGACTCGCGCTAAATGCGCTGACGCCAACAACAATAGCCTTTTTCTACTTATTGAGCATGCACCCTTTGTTTTTTTTCTGAAGAACTGTTCGACATGGTGTTATCAGGGGCATGGAAGCCTCGATCGTGCAGCTTGCGGAGGAGGGGGAAGCCCTTATTCACCGCGGAATGATAAAGCTCCAAAGAGCACAAAGCCATCAAAGCCTAAAAGCCCTAAGCCGAAGAAGCCAACACAAGCCAACCAAGCCTAGTCCAAGCCGGTCTACTCACACAAACACACAAAAACCAGGAAACCTGAGCAGGTAGCTAGGTGCTGAGAGAGCAAGTCAGAATGCCAAGCCGCCCTGGACGTGCACGAGCTCACGCATGGCTGCAAGGAGGGTGGAGAAGGAACGTTCAAATCACGTTTCGAGGGCTGAAGACGGCTTCATGTTGCCACATGCACGAGGCATGCATTGATAGAACTTATGACCCCATCCGTGCTAGCTGGTTTAGGGTTTAGGGTTAGGGTTTAGGGTTTGGACCGAACTCCCGACTGGGCTGCAAGCCCACTCACGTGCCCCGGGCTGCGCCAGGTCGCCAATCAAAGGACCTCGTTGGTGGGATTGCATGTCATAGTTCGGTTTAGTCATAACCCTCAACTCCGGAACCCTCCCTAGGCTCAAACCCTATAACCCGAAAAGTCCAAGAGCTCTAAGGCCCTAAGGTCCCAGAGCCTTAAAGGTTTCAGGGCCCAGCGCTATTGGGCTATTTCCGTGGGTTTATGTTATGTAGGAGAAAATACTTGCTTCATACAACGTATAATACATTTGTATATATATATATATATATTGTACATGTATAGTGAATCATGGACAATGTTTTTAAACAAATAAAGTCTATATATATATGTGTGTATATATATATATAACAACTTTATGAAAATATTACTAAATACATGCAGCACATACGTATTCATGAAATATGTATACAACACGAAACACATAAATTTAGATTGTACTATGTATAAGATGCTATCTACATATATACATATGTATGTATACAAGCGTTTATCAATTTATTTCTCGAGTAGTATATTCAATTTGACTAGGAAACCATACCATATACATATATATATATATATCTAACTATATGTTGCATCGTAAAGTTAAAGCGCATGAACACATATATCTATACGTACATACATAAATATATATATATATATATTTATTTATGTATTTATTTATATACGTATGCATGTATGCATTTATTTGCTATGCAAATATACATGTATGTCTATAAGTGTATAATATGCACAATTATATATGTGTATGCATCGTTTAACAGCATGCATCATGAACGTACATCATAGGGAAGGGTTCTTCTGGGATCCTTCGAGGGTCCCTCCTGCTCCCCCTTCCACCTTTGTTCTCCAGACGCCGCAACACGTCGCTCCAAGAGGTCCGGCGATGGACTTGGGTCCGCGATCGTCTCTACCAAGGCTTGCGCGCCACCCTGAGCCCTGAACACTAAAATCCAAGGGGGCCCCAGATGGACGAGGTTTTCAGGCTAGGGTTGAGGGTTGAGGGCTTAGTGCTCAACCCTAAGCCCTAAACGATAAGCGCCCTTGCTGTTCAAAACTCTGCCTGGCTACTTTGGCGACACCTACAATGACATCGGCCGGAGCGTACTTTGCTGTGCGGGTACAAGGTATCTTAGACGACACGAGGCCTCGACCCTAAACTAAACCATAAGCTCTTAACCGTAGGATTTGGAAACCGGCCCGGTGACCTAGGAAACACCTATTTTTTTGGAGTTGACAGAGGTATATAAACATGCACCTAGCTGCCAAATAGAGAGCAAGGTACCACTGGAGATCTTGGCAACTATTGAGCCGTCAAACTCCAAAATCCGAACTTCAGGACCCAGTCCCTCCGCGTGCGAGCCCATCCACGCTGAGATCAAGGCACCAGCACGATCTAGGACTCAGGGGCTCGGTGGTTGAGGGGTCGAGGGTTTAATACCTTATGCCCGGGGGGCGGAGGTATCCGAAGCCACTTCAGCCCCAACTTTAGTGAGCCCAAGGGATCACAAATACATGTATAGTATTACTATCTATGTGTATATATATATATACAATTACATATATATATACACATATATGTATATGCTCCCCCCCCCAAAGGACCTACCTTGTAAGCATAGTTGACTGACATTGGCAAAAGTAGGACAGAAGAGCCGGCCCAAAAAAAAATCCAAATTTGACCAGCCAAGGCCGAGGACCACGGTTCCTGCGATTTTCGAGCGGGCTCGAGCTTAGCAACCCTGATGGGTTGAACCCCTTGGATTTGTTTCGGCGAGCTCGAAAAAAAACCGAAATCTTGACGGCTTTAGCTTGGTAGCCCTCATAGGTTGAGAACTTTAGGGTCTTTCAAGCCGGCTCGAAAAATATCGAAACCTTGACCAACCAAAATTTGGTTGATAACTGATAGACTTGATACAAGAAATGTTCCTTGTGAACGCGTTACAGTTAATCTACTGAAAGAAAATATGACAAGATATTGCGAAAAAATGCATGAAGTTCGTTCTGTTATGTTCCTTCTTAACCACTATATTTAATGCACTTTTCTTCCTGGTGGCCCGAGTACTCCCTATCTTCATCATCTTCATGATAGTCATTCATTACATTCATTCTAGTCGGCATCCGTTATATTCACTGTGTCTGCCATGTTCGACATGCTAATGGTTTACATTGTGCCAGTTGCTTGGGGGGGCGGGGGTGCGAAATCCCAGGAGCACATATCAGAGAAAACATACATAAGTGACATAGCTACTCATGTTGAAAGTGTTGGTTGTCAGGGGGGTGTGATTGCTCAAGATAAGATGTTCTGTAAAAAGCACAACATAGCAAAATACATGTGATTTGGCTTAACCCACCGACCTCACCAAACCAAGAAAAGCTTTCAGAAAGTAGGTCCCGTGGAGGGACGGAGGGGGGGTGCTATATATATATATGTATACATATACATACATACATACATACATACATACATACATACATACATACATACATACATACATACATACATACATACATTTTAGACATATATATATATATAGTTTGATACCTCTACTTTGTCTTATGTGTATACGCCGCCACCACCACCCCAAGATCCACACTTACACACTTTACACACTTTACACTCCTCAACCCCAGACCTTTCCACAATGACACTCTTCTACCCTACAACTTTCCGCGTCTCCACTTTTCCACGCCATACACACTGCAACCTTCCACATTTCACATGTCCATCTGGAAACGTGGAAAGCTACAGGGGGGACAGATTCAAACGTGGAAACGTCGGAGGCGGAAATGTGCGAATGTGGAAAGTTTGCAGGGTCGAAAGCTGAAACTTCAAAGTCGCAGTCTGGAAAAGCGGACCTGTGGAAATGTAGAGGCAAGTTGATGAACAAGTGGATATGTGGGAGATTGTAGGGAAGTGCAAATGTGGAAGGGATCTCGACAGGGGGCTACACTATACCGGCTGTCTTGAGAGATCGAATGAGAAACGTGAAAACAAAAAATCTAGTTTCTTCTTATTTCTATGTAACTTATTGCTAAATGTGACCTGTAAAAATTACATATACATGTAAACATATGCATATATATATATGCATATGCAGATGCATATGCGTCTGTATATGTACATGCATGTAGAACCGACACAACCGCTCGAAACCTAAACCCGTTGGACCGCAGTCGTGGAGTTGGACATCTTGGCTGTTGTGCCAATGGGCTCCTTCCTTCTCGCACGCGATCTTCTCTTCGCTCTTGCACCTTTTCCTGGGGGTCCTCTTCTGCTTGGGGTTTGGGACTTGGAGTGTAGGGTTTAGTGTAGGGTTTAGTTTGAAGATTTTAGAGTTTACGGTTTAGGGCTCCGGCTCCCTTGAGGTGGGATCCATGGCTTTAGTGCTCCTAGTGGCAAGACCGGGCTTGTGAAACTAGAACACGATTTCAAGGGCCAGAATTTAGGGTTTTGGGCTGAGATCAACACAAGAGCCTAAAATCATTACCAATGTTACCCCCTGAGAATACTGACAATGTGATCCCCTTAGAACACTGACAGCTCCCATTCGAGTGTTGAAAAAACGTATATCATATTGAAGGGATGCAAGGTTCAGAGAGAGATTGACACTGACAACTTGAAGGCTTAAGCGTCTAGTGTGTAGGGCATACTGTTGAGGCCAGGAAGGAGTTCATGGGAGTGGAACGACTTTGGCTGCGTGCACCAAAACCCAACACCTAAAGCCCTGTTTGGGGAGTGAAGTGCAGGGGCTTGTTTAAATACCGAAAACTGCTGCAACGACTAAGACTGACTATGCCTTTGTAGGGAATGAGCGCATGCGGGCGAATGGCAGTACGGAGTGTGGATTTGAGTGCTTTCAGGTTCCTGCGAGTTGAAAGCACTGGCTTGAGAAGCGCTCGTTCCCTCCGTCAGGCGGCAAAGAGATCTGCCCGCAGTGAGAGCAGGCGGAACGGCCCAAGAGTTCCTCATCAAACGTCCCAAACCGCGACTCTAAAGCAGCGACTCTAAAGCAGCTTCCGCCAATCTGCCCACTGCGGAGGTATCACGCTCAGACGGCACATCTTCGTGGGAACAGCTGCCTGGTGCGCGCGGCCCTTTGATACACAGGAAGTCATGGCCACATGGCTGGAGCACAGGAGGAGGACTGGAGCATAGGAGCAAAGCATAGGACGAAGTAGGAACGGATAGCACAGAGCAGCAGCAGCAGGAGGAGGAGGAGGAGGAGGAGGAGGAGGAGGAGCAGGAAGGAGTAGTGTCGTCGTCGTCGTCGTCGTCGTCGTAGTAGTAGTAGTAGTAGTAGTAGCAGGAGTAGTAGTAGTAGTAGTAGTAGTAGTAGTAGTAGTAGCAGCAGCAGTAGCAGTAGTAGTAGTAGTAGTAGTAGTAGTAGTAGCAGTAGTAGTAGTAGTAGTAGTAGTAGTAGTAGTAGTAGTAGTAGTAGTAGTAGTAGTAGGAGAACATGGACATTACTGCGATTGCTTAGCTCATTTGGGTAGCAGAAAAGTCATCGTAGTAGCACCGGCAGTAGTCCATCACAGGCACAGTATTGGTTACTGTCGAGTCCGATTCTGAATCTTATTCTGCTCCTGCTACTTGTAGTAGGTACCACTAGCATCGTCACACAGAAAGTGGCAGTCCTACGCTGTCAAGTTATCTCATACCCCCATGATACGCATGTTGATTAAGGCTTGCAGGGTTACAAGGCCAATGACTCGACCAAGCTGCACGCGGGCACAAAGGCCGCGTCTACTGGAGGCTGTAGTACGCAATGCCGAGGACGACCAGCCTGGGTCCCAACATCCTAA